CTGGCTCCACTTTACCTATGAGGGAAAACCATGCAATCGACCATGCAGCCAGTTCATTCGCCTGAAATCGAACCCGAGTCGAACTACAAGTGTTCAGAGGTTTTTACCGCTCAATCGGTAGTGGGCTTTTTATTTTTGATATGAGGCTCAGCTTTTGAAAATTTAGCATTGTACCCAGAATGATTCCTCATTCTGAAAATATTTTGGAACTGTGAACTTAGGTGCCGCGAGTCAGGGCTGCACAATCTTCTGCCAGGACGAGCTACTTTTTGCCCTATGTGTAACTTCTTCAACTACTAGTCTGCTGGGGAAAATGTAAAATAATACTTTAATAGTGTAAAGGATGGTAGGATAAGATTGAAGCAAAAGGCTGTCGCAAACTTCCGTACAACTAATCAATCTTCCGTGCAACTAATCAATGGAGAGTACCTCTGTTTTTTTAACCAAATTCTTTGTTTCGTTCTTTTCCTCTCATTGAATACTAAAAGTGAATACTGATAGCGTTTCATTCCTGCTAAAAATACTTAAAGCGTTTTTTGTTTGAATTATAAACGATTATCTTATCTTTTTCGATAGCATTTGAAATTTTTCCTTATTTTTCCTACTTTTTGCAGTTTAAGAATAGTTTTCATGTTCACATGCAAGGTTTCTTGCCTTCGCATCTTATTTTTGCATCATGAGAGTTAATAACTATGAATATTTGATTTTCACTCTACCATTATTCGTGATGCATAAAAAGCAAATGATTTTTATGATACATACCTGAAGATTACTAATTTAATACATTTCCTCTGCAAGCCTTTTTCAGAAATAGTGCAAAACATTCGAAGAAATGGTGCATAATATATTTTTACGAATGCAGCATTAACTAACTAAGAAGAAATGTTAAAAATTCCTGCTAGCTAACGGAAAATACAAGGTGATAAAAAATTCCTAATCAACTTTAGTTTTACATGTTTACATTCCTTGCTAAAATAATTTCATCATGCCCATTTGTAACCAAAAGAAGTCGAATCTTTTAAATGACTACGCGTACTTTACTCTACGATTCTAGTTTTTTATGCATCTGAGTGTCAATCTTTAGTTCAGCAGCACTCAGGATTATCCGAAAGTACAATGTTTATTTTTGCAAACTACTGAAAATATTGGTTGGGAAAAGTTCCGAAGACCATGTAGACCTTTCGTAATTGGCTATTACTTTATCTTTGCAAATAACAGAAAACAACGGGACAAACTCTAACTGAAAGCATCTTTCTATTTAAACAGGTTCGCGAACGGGCTGGCTGAATGGGTGTATTCATGGTTTCCCCATGTGTAACGTGTATACGAGCCAGTTTCCCTTAAAACGTCCTCCACGAAGGCATCCCTCCCTTAAGGCAGATAGCCCTCGAGTGCGAATCGGTAAATAAAGCAAAGACATCGTAAGAATAAAGGTTCCTCGTTATTTTAAATACTCAAAATCTCAAAAGTTCATAGTTATCAGTTTCTTATTTCACCTATTATTATATTATACGATAATAAAATTTTAAAAAGTCCTTCATATTTTAAACTAGTCTGAAAATAGTATTAGAAGGTATTTAGAAATTAGGTTATTTAACTTAGTAACTTTAACTTTCTGGTTACCTGCTGCTGACAAAATATGCATAGTGCATGATCCATTAGTACTAACCCTAGAAAATATTATTATATTTCTAAATATATTATGTATATTGAGCATATTATAAAGTATCATAAAGAAATGAAACATGGCATAGATCTTCAAACTGCTAGCCATACAGCTATCTAAATTTTAAAAAGTTAAAAATATCTAGGGAGTATTCGTTGAGCTAAGTACTTCATTTAAAAAATAATATTTGACTCTTTTAATTTCCCATCTACGAAAAAAATCAAATATTCATCTGACTTTTGTTATCTTACGATCACCGTTCTTGCTATAGAGTAAAACTATTTTTTGTTAAAAATGATTTTTAATGTTCTTACTAGACTGTAAAAACATTTAGTTTAGCAAACAATAATGTCCAAAAAGAGGGGTTATTTTTTTAGCCCAAGGCGCGTTAGACTCAAAGTCTATTAGTCTCAAAATGGCGTTTTGCGTCGTTTCACTTTCTGCATTGGTTTACTTTTCAAACTGTTGCCACCAAATATTATTGCCCTGATATAATATTTAAAGAAACTTAATAATGAAGAATCTGCATGAATGTTTCTAGCATTGTTAAAAAACTACGGTACAAAGAGCCATAAAATTCTGAATAACGTAGTCCTCCAACTGAACATGGACTTGGAAGTCCGAATTTTGAATTTGTTTCAATATTTATTTCAGATTTTCTAAAACTTTAACGAACATTTGATTAATAAACTCAACGATTTCACAGCGAGCAATAGCAACACTGCACGGAAAAAAATATTTTTATCTCCAGCGCGCAAGACTGTATCGGAAATTCTAAAGCTATGCTGTTTTTAAATATTTTGTGATATTAATTTAGAACTCAGATCACAAAAATCAGCGTTATATTTGCCAATTTTCACAGGATAGTTACGATAGATTTACCAGACTATCATCCTCAGCTGCCAAAGAGCAAATTAACCAGATAGCATATAGTGATACGATAAGTATGGCTGGACAAGAGTTAAGCTACTGGTGCCATCTATTGATCAAACAAGAAAACTAAAACATAATTTCTTTAAAGGCTGAAGGTAAAGATGGATTTAGAATTAGGGTCCTTAACCAGAACAGAGGGAAATTTTTAAATGTGAAACGCCTCTAGGAAATCTAATTCAGCAATAGATGTTTTTTGAATTATGTTGGCTGCAGAAAAATGGAAAGCGGGATTTTCGGACCAACAATGCTTTGCAATAGAGGACTTCTGTGTTTCCTTTTTCCTAACATATGCCTCATATTTATTGACGCAAAATTTTAAGGCATTTTTAGTTTGACCAATGGAAATTAAACCACACTGGCAAGGAATCCTGTAAATACCCCAGGAATTCATTTCGGGAATGGGGTCCTTAAGTATGGAACTCGGAATTTTATTGGCAAGAGAATAAATGACCCGAAAGTTAAATTTTTGTAAAAAATACGTGCAATTTTATAGCTAATTGATGGAAAGAAAGGAAGGACAACAGAATTCTGATAATCTCCTAAAACAAGAGTGTGCTTATTTGGTGTGTTGAGATTATAATTTTTTAACTCCTTGGTTAATAATGTTGGATTAAAAGCCCTTATAAATAGCTACTGATTTTAAATAATTTAAGAGCCAATTTGGAGGAGCAAACTTGAAGTGCACGGAAAACAAAGGAATAAAATGAAGCTAACTTTTATTTAGTCGGATGACGTGATTTGAAGTGTGGTGGAAGCCAAATCGATGCATGTTTACGGTAAAAAGTAGTACAGAAGTTGGATATGTTACGTGTGACCAACATGTCGAATGTAAAAGTATCGTCTACGTAGTTTGTATGTTTAGTATCTATGTTTGACGGTAATAATGATGATTTAAATGAAGTTCTATCAATAATGAATTAGACTGATCCTGCTATTCAGTTCGCTTTTGAACTTGAGACATACAATTCTCTTCCGTTCCTCGACATTTTGGTCACACGTAACACATCCAACTTCAATATTACTGTTTACCGTATTGATACCGTATTATCTATTGATAGGATCTTTCCACCCAACATTATCAATCAAGCAGTTAAAAAATTTTCGTTTAAACACACCAAAAAGCACACTCTTGTTTTAGGAGATTATAAGAATTCTGTTGTCATTCCTTTCTTTCCACCAATTAAATATAAAATTGCACATATTTTACAGAACTTTAACTTCGTTTTATAGGTCGTTTATTATCCTATCAATAAAATTCGGAGTTCCATAGTTAAGGACCCCTTTCGGATATGAATTCCTGGGGTATTTACAGGATTCCTTGCCAGTGCAGTTTAATTTACATTGGTCTAACTAAGAGAGCCTTAAAATTTCGAGTTAAAGATTGAGACATATGTTAGGAAAAAGGAAACTACAGAAGTCCTCTATTGCAAAGCATTGTTGGTCTGAAAATCACGCTTTCCATTTTTCTGCTGCCAAAATTATTCAAAAAACATCTTCCATCGGTGAATTAGATTTTTTAGAGACGTTTCACATTCAAAAAAAATCTCTCTGTTCTAATTAATGATCCTAATTTCAATCCATCTTTACCTTCAGCCTTTAAGGAAATTATGTTTTAGTTTTCTTATTTCATCAATAAATGATGCCAGTAGCTTAACTCCTGTCCAGCCATTTTTATCTTATAGCATCACTGCATCACTATATCTTATCTCATTCATTTGCTCTTTGGCAGCTGAGGATGATGTTTCGGTAAAACCATCGAAACTAGTCCAGTGAAAATTTGCAAATATAACACTGATTTTTTTTGTTTGAACTGTAAATTAATATTTGTTCGGCGTGTTATTTTTACCTAAATTTTGAGATATTGGTGTTGAATTGAATTTTGTGTGGTTTAAGTTCGAAGAACATGATATTTAATAAATAAAAGTAACACACAAAACGTTAATAAAATCGCCGTTTGCGGCGTAATGTAAAATCTGAAAGCTTTCAGAATTTTTTTTTCCTTTCGGGAAGGAGGGGAACAAACTAATCTAGAATATATATAATAACACAAGAACGAAAAAAATTTCATTTACACATAATATAAAAAATCTTTAATAGGAATAATATCTAACAGAGAATGTATCTTCTATTTACTGGTAATTACACTTATAAAACTCCTTGACCACAAAATGTGGAAAGAAAACAGATCAAAGTATGTTAGAAATGGATTAGGTTAGGAACCTTTTATTCTGAAAGGATGTTAGTTCTCTCTCTTCAAAAATAATTTTCACTTTCTGATTTCGATGTCGTTAAAGGTACACAACAGCAGCTGCAACTTGAACAAATAAGAAGCCAAGTTTTACGACTCGAGAAACGTCATTCCCTGGTTCGCAGGAAGTTTCAGTTAATACTCACGAATCTGGAGACTATTTTGAGGAAATATTGCTTGTGCTGCTGGCAGACTCGTGGCTTACTTGAAACAGAAGAGAAATTTTTCTACTGAAAATGCACATGCATTAACAGATTGATGTTGAAATAACATAGGAATGAAATTCAGGACTTGGATTAAGTGCCTTTTTTGGAATTTAATGGCTTTGTGGATAATCTGGAGTTTTACTGACAGTGAAAAAGCAGACTTATTATTTCGATGTTTGCTGGGATTGTTATGTGATAAAAGTAAGATAAGTAGATTATTAAAAGGAATTTTTTTAAATTACTCTTATGATTTGCAGTACTTTATTCTCTAATATTTTGCTTCAGTTCAAAAAGCAGAATTTATAAATCTATTTTATTTTTTTATTAATACTACTTGCTGCCTAAAAGAAAAATTCAAATACAATTTAAATTCTTATGCATTTTTCATAGGATTTGCTTTCTTAAAATAACAAAACTAATTTCAACTCAAAATTTCGTAATTTGTCTTTCTTTCTTTGTCTTTAGAAATTCCCAAAGGTGTAATGTAATGAGGTTTTTTTTTTTTTTTTTTTTTTTTTTTTTTTTTTTTATAAAACTAGTACTTTTATATTACACATATTTAATTACACAATTATGTTCTTGTATTACACATTTATGTTTACATCTAAATGTAAACTGCATCTGAGATTGTTATGAAAAGAAATTATTATTGTTATAATAATTTCTTTATTAGAATTTTTAGGGCAGCTGCTAATGACAGATAAATTCATCATTTTCATTTCCTGTATTATCCTATAGCTAGGAAGATTTATAAAAATCGAAATGTTAATTTTTGGGTCGAAAGTACTAATAGTTTCATGTATTCAAAAATCATGATGCAGTTAAAATAGCTGTGAAATATCCATAAATAATCCCCCCAAAAAATTGAAATTAGTAATCATAGTGGCTTTTAAAGGGTTTAATAAGAATCTGGATTCCGAGATAAAATTTTCCGACGAGATATGCCGCATTTCAAGTACTAGTTAATTATATTTTTTTGGCCATGCCATTTCACCTGGCAGTTACCTCAAAACTGTATTTTATAGCTGAGTTGTAATCCATTGCTTATGCTTTACTTACGTTAATCACTGCTTAGCCTTTTATACACGTATATCAAAGCAAATTTGTTTGTTTCATTAATATTCCTATTTATTCTGCAAGCTGCAAATAATTGTTCATCGAATTCACTACAACACCTACCTTCTTCAAACTGAAGTTATAAATGAGGCAGCATGGATTTGTATTTTTATGCCCAAACTGTTTTTCTATGTGTGTGTTTTCATTTATTTTTTTTATTTCTAAACTATTTTTCTATATACTTATTATGTAACCTGGAAGTTGTATTAAAAATATGCAGTGAAAGATTTAAAACTTTACGTAAAAGATTAAATATTAAACTAAAATAGGAACACTGGTATTTTATAAGAATATGAGTAACTATATGATGTCGTTTTTAGTACACCTCATCCATGTTACATATTCAATCCAAATCGATGTATTGATAATCACTTCTTCTCATAATGTGAACACACCTGCTTTGTGAAATATATTTAATTTAAGAAAATCTTTATTAAAAAAAAAAACTTGAGTTTGTATTTAAAACAAATATAATGTTAGAGTTGTGTTATTATAAATTTAATATTATCCTAAATCACGCTTTCAAGACATGAAAACTGAAGGTTGAGTTTTGCTGACCTGTCAGCTACAGTCTGTCTATTATCATAAGAAAAGCTCTCCCCAGTTAGTCTGTAGCTGTCTGTTGCCGTAGAAACGAGCCTTGGCCCGTTTTTCGTAAAGCGCCGTTCCCACTGGGGTTTATCTGAGCTAACGGAGTCAGTTCCCTGTGTCGACTAGCTCCGCTGTGCCTGCAGTTCAGATTTTTCAACTTGCTACTCTATGGGGAAAAACTGGTTTGGGGGATGGGTCGACTACGTTAGTTGTGTTCGTTAGCTCAGATAAACCCCAGTGGGAACGGGGAAGCCGAATGATAAACTCTTTTCCATCAGCCAACAATCGCCCCAAAACAAAATAACAATAAAGAAACCCTTGGTTCGCTCCTATTTGAAATATGCTAGAAATGCAAAAATTCTTCCATATCGAAAATCTGTAAAAACTACTAGCTCACACTTACTAAATGGGTTGGAAAAGGAAACAAATTTTAAGTTTGTGAGCCCATTCAATTGTTGTGGGCTAACTTTCAGTAAAGATATATTAAATAAAGACTTTTGTCTTGCCATTTTGAATATATTGTTTTGAATCTGAATGTGCATTAATTACTAAGTCATCTCTGCTGAAATGGTGTGTCAGCTAATCAAGAGCTTTTCTAGAATTTTCGCTGGTTAACGATAATCCACTGACAGCATTTAAAGCTAACCCGTCCGAAGGTGTCTTTAAATAACAAATCAAGTGAATTGAGATATTCATTTTGGTTAAATGAAACTGTTAAACTAATTTCAGAATTCAAACCAAGAACAAGGGTCGCCATAATACTTGGTAATTGTTAATTTCAGCAAAATGTTAACTTTAGAAGCTTTCGACTTCGCAGGTATATTTTCCTTACTCAAATTTTAGATTTTTTTTTTTTTTTTTTTTCCTGAGTTTTACATTTGAAACTAACAATTTTTTCCAGACGTACCTGTGCGTGATCTTGTAATATTTATACTTTATACATTGATAGAAAATGAAAGCCCATTACTAAGAAAGAGTTGTGCTAGATAAATAAAATTTCGACTTCTGAACCATATGCATATCTGAAAGATGACGTCTATTAACATTTCGGGTACACGAAGAAGTGCGAATCCGCGGCGCTAGTAATGCTACTAATGTACATGCAAATCTTTAAATACGCGATGTAAACCTTGTGTCATTTATTTATCTTTAAGTCCGAGCCTTGTGAGCGAGATTTGAATCAAGAACTTTCAGGTGAGAAGGATGGTAATATCAGTAGCTTACTGAATATGAACAAGGTCGCGTTATAAGTCTACGAGAAGGTGGATTTTCTTTTCACGATATTGCACAAATACTTGGCAGATATTTGTCTAATGTGCATGCATACTGGCAGCAGTGGTCACGAAAAAGTACTGCCTCAAGAAGGCCGGGGCTCGGCTGCACACGTGCTATCACTCAAGGAGAAGACCACGGTATTCGCCACATATCTGTGGTGAATCGCACTGCATCTATAGCAGGCTTCGAGCTTTTTCTAGGACTAGAGTGATACAGTGAACTGTAAAGCTGCGTTCCCACTGGGGTTTATTTGAGCTAACGAACACAATTGACGTAGCCGACCCATCTCCAAAACCAGTTTTCCCATAGGGCGGCAAGTTGAAAAATCTGAACTGCAGGCACAGCGGAGCTAATCGACACATGGAACTGACTCCGTTAGCTCAGATAAACCCCAGTGGGAACAGGCCTTAAAAGATCGATTATTTGAGGGAAAGCTTCGAGACAGGCGCCTTGTAGCAGCCATATCATAAATTTCAAATCACTGCCATCTGCCACTTCGATCGTATTGAGCTAAGACTCACTGAAGGGTGGAGTAGAGATCTGTTGTGTTTTCAGATGAGAGCCGTTTCTGTCTTGATGCCAGTGATGGCCACTTGTTGGTCAGAAGGAGGCCAGGTGTGGGCTTGGAGCCAAGCTGTCTGCGGCGTAGACACTTTGGATATACACCAGGAGTTTTTGTCTGTGAATCAATTTTCTATGATAGCAGAAACCTCGTTATCCTACACACTTTGGCAGCAAATTTGCACATCAGACAGTTGATTATACTGCTTCTATTCTTGAGTAATATTCCAGGAGCATTTTCCTAAAGAATAACCCTTGTCCCTATTTCTATTATCATCTAGCTTTTTCTACAGAATGTCTTTGCCTGCGAAATCATCCGATCTTTTTCCAATCGAGTATGTGTGGGACATTATTGGACGACAAATCCAGAACATCCACAACGTCATCATCCAGCACGTACTGTTGCTGACTTGACTTAGGCATGGAACTTCATCCCACAAAATGGGATACGGCACCTGTACGATATATTGCATGTGCATTTGCATGCTTGCATTCAACATCGTGGTGACTACAGCAGTTATTAATGTACCACCATTTCAATTTAAAATGGCACTTTGGCTCATCTCGTGCATATTTTAACCTGTAACCTTGAAACATTAACATTAATCATATAGGTTACCTAGACAAATCTTTTGCATTCCTCTGAACTGATTTCTTCAGTGGCGTAGCAAACACGGAGCAAGGGAGGAGTCGTTTCCTGGGAACGGCATCCAGGGGGAGCAAACTGATGTGACGGAATTTTAGAAGAAAATGACACGATTACAGCTATTACACAAATTCCTTGCTAGTTCTACTACACAAATGATTTTCTATGCGCAATGCGCCATCTAACGAAAATCGTAATCGGAGGGGATCAAATATAGGAGGTTCTCAGAACACATAGCCCAGAAAAAATAGCTCAGCAAAAATAGTTTTCAGCAAAAATATTTTAGATGGATCATCCGTATTTTCGAAGCTCGCTGTTTATTCTTGGCAAACAGGAGGGCGGCGAAACCTTCAGCTGTCCCAAACGCTCTTCTTCTTGGTGTTGGGATTCCATTTTTCATCAGTATATTTACAGATTCTGCGTACAGTGTTATTTTTTTTTTTCCAATTATAAAAATTATTGGTCATCCGCGGTCCACCTAGCAGTGTGGCTGTGAGGGGTCACGAGGAGACATCAGACTCCGGAGTTACTAGCCTGGGTCCACTGCCATCAGAGATAAGATGCCAGAGAACCTGAGTAATATTCTCATTTTGATGATTTGGTGTGATCGTTACCTTCGAATTCTGTTACATAAATGACAGCGATTGTTACAGATATTACACAATGACACAATTACAACTATTACACAAATTCCTTGCAAGTTCTATTACACAAATGATTTTTTATGCGCAGTGCGCCATCTGACGAAAACCACCGTAATCGGAGGGGATCAAATATAGGCTCTCAGAACAGATAGCTCAGAAAAAATAGCTCAGCATAAATAGTTTTCAGCAAAAATATTTTAGATGGATCATGCGTATTTTCGAAGCTCGCTGTTTGAAAATTCCTCTTTGTTTGCAAACACTTGAGGACTATAATAAAATTAATTAGAGGCACACTCGGAAAACCTGTCTAAAGTGTTGTCACTAATGTGCATTATATGAAATATATTACGAATTAAAGTTAGAAATTTATTCGAAATTGAGATACGTATGTATATTAAAAGGTAAAAGAATCATGATGCAAAAGTGTTGAAATATAATTATAAGGAACAGTTATCTAAAATACTTATTAGTATATGAAGTGTTTTGACTTAATACGAAACGACGTAAGTACGTGGATGTATCATCATAAATACTAATTTAACATGAGATACATTTAAAAATTGTGTATGGGGCAGTGCGTAGTCATAAATAGTTCTACGAATGAAATTAAGCACATGAAAAATTTTCTTTAAACATCTTTTTCAAAATTTACAAGAATTTCGCCTCTTTTTAGGTAAAGGTTTATTTTCAATCAATAAAAAAAATTTTTAATTTACCATGACGTAAATTTAGAGGAATAATTCGCACGCAAAATATTTTTAATCAGTTTTAGCTTTGCTAATTCGTGTCAGATGTTATTTTTTAAAACTCTGTTACTTTCGAGGTAGTTAATGCTGATATTACTCATTCTTTTCAGCTACTTTTCGATATCTGAGAGACTGCTGGCTGATTTTAGCCGCTGAGGTAAATAAAGCATTGGTTCTCTTTCTATTAATTCATCATTAATTCATTTAAAACTTCTCATCACTGTTAGCTTTATATGCAGTTGATTCTTTTTACCATTTAGTAATCTGGAGATGAAGTATACTTTTTATATAGGCAAATGAGATAATTATACTTCTTCCGTAATGTGCTGATTCTCCTTAAATTAGGAAAAACTAATTGACCACGTTTTCATTTTAAGTTTGTATTCTTTTATATGTAATTGTAATAATATGATAATTAATTAACAATTTTAAGATTATCACTTTACTTATTATTATAACTCACATTACTTTTTTTTCGGAAATATTTTTTCTATTAGAATATTTTCCAACTACTTTTCAGGGACTATAAATTTAAATATTATACGCTTTGTTTCAAAGAGATTGATTGTGAAAGATTGATGCCATATTAAATACTACCATGTCTCGTATATCTAAAAGTATGCAAATAAAATTCTGCTATATGTGTCATTTGTTCACATTTAAGTGACAGAGACGCAGTGTTATAAAGTACTTCAAAAGTGCTTAATGGACTTCGGATTAGTGGGTTTTATTGAAATCCAATTTTTACGTAACTTCGCCAAACGTGATGAAGATAAAGGTCAGTTTAGGCATATTTTTACAGGGTATCAGGATAAGGTCTGCGGAAAGTAAGTTATCAATTATCTTAAAAACGTACTATCTAAGTTTATCTCTATTTTATTTATTTTTTATTTTTCGCGGAACTTAAGTGCAGTTAGTGACGAGCAAGAAAAGCATTTCCGTTAAGTTATAAAAGTGACGGAAGAAAGCTAAGATGGGACTATTAAGGAATATTGTTTTTGCATATCGCGATGCTTCAGAACAAATATGGGATTGAAACTGGGGTTATCGCATATTTTAACTGAACTGGCTTTTGTATATTAATTTTCTCCACAAAAAACCATATTTTTAAAATTCTATTCTTCAGGCAGAGAATATTCTTGCCCCACTCATTGCCCTTCCTTGATAATGTGCCTGATTCCTCTCATGACTGAACATTCTGGAAAACTAAAACTGCATGTAATTAACCATCTATCAGACGGTCTTAGTTCAGTGTCAATAATTACACTTAAAACTTCAGTAATAACTTTATCGTCACGCGAATTTTTGCGATTATTTCACGATTTATTTTCACGAATATCGTTATTTAAATTATTTTCACAAATGTTAGGGTATTTTCTGAAATTTCACGAATATTGAGTTTTCTGTGACTATCAGATAAATCTGAAAATTTCAAAAATTTTCCTGTTGTTTTATGGTTTCTATTGCAATTATTGGATTATTTTTCATAATTTTATAATATTTTACTTCTGTTTTATTCAGAATGCTTGCTTAAAGGACCCTGGGAATTAATTATTAAAACAAAAGCTTTGAATTATATTTCGAGATTCTCATTCGCATGCAGTCAGGTAAAGAGCGTATCTATCGCGTTTCGTGACTTTCATATCCACTAATACTCTGTGACCAAATTGGTGACTAGCTGCGAAATGTCATAAATTGTATTTAACAGATCTAGTGGGGAAATTAGTTGAGGAGTAAAAATTTTTATATTCTGTTCATGAATTTTTACGAAGGTTAATTGTTTTTTCTTTAAACTACAAAATGTAATTACAGATGTTTTCATTGAGAATAGCTAGCTCAAAAAGCAAAAATCCATCCATAAAATGTTCGAAACTGTGGTAAAAAAAGGTGAGGAAGAAAAACCATTTCAGTGATAAATAACTAGTTTATAAGATAAAAATTACGACTTCGCACTCATATTAATCAGAAATCTGGCCCTAAATGTATTCTTTCGACTTAACGCAAAAGTTATAATTTATTTATCAGGACAAGTAAAATAAATATTATTAAAAAAAGAACCTCTCGCAACCAAATATAAAGGTCGGTGTCAAAAGATTGCAAAAAATAAAGAATGATTTTTTTTATTTAGGTTACAATATCTAAGATAATTCTAGACTAGATTGATGCAATTACTGCTTTTGTTCAAACTCTGAAACTACAAATATGGAGAAAATAGATCAAACGAATGTTTCATATGAATAAATATATTTTATTTTGTTTTGAGTTAGGAAATAAGAAATAATGTATTGAGAAAATTTTTGGAAACACGACGACAGGGAAATCCAAAACGAATAGTACAAAAAAAAAATCATATCTGTGAGACGGCCGTGATGCATTGTTTTCGCAAGTACAGATATTAACTATTATTACTCAGAGACATTTAAGAACCGAATTTGCTAAAGATAGCTCCTCACTGTTGCATCATAAAATAAGCGAAACAATTCGAAGAACGTGATTCTCAAAAGGCAAATGTTTTCTGCACCATAAACAGCCGCAGTGTATTTAGGGCCTCCATGGAGTACCACTACATGGCTCATCTATCTCAACTTGCTATAAGAGGAATTGTAAGAGTAAGGAAAAGAAGTACCCAACCTATCAAGACTCCTTCCCCATTATCATTGTTGGTTACATCACACCACACTGTCATTGCTGTGCCATATTGATGCTTGATGTATGTAATTATGTCTACCAGCATCTTCCCATTCTGCATTAGTCGTGCTAATTTGAATGATTGTCATTGATGTTCTGGTCATTCAACTTTTACCAACTACAGGTGACGGGCAAAACATTTGTACCCCTAGTTTTGAAGAACTTCCAACAATTAAATCAGCGGTAGCCAAAACATTCGATTCAATTTATCAGATTATGCTAGCATGGATATAAGCAGAACGGAAGTATCATGTACATACGCAGTGTCAACAAAAGTATCCACATCGAACATCTGTCCATAGAAAACTTGGTTAAAAAAGTTAGTTTTTCATGTTATACGTATGTTTGTGAAATAAATCCATCGGAGTATTCATGGTTATAATTTCTTTTCAGTACTTTGAATTATCCTATATAAAATTATATATTATATATCTGTTATTGCCAAAATTATAATGGATATGTGAGCTGTGAATTTGAAGCATCAATATAATTGCATTAGGGAAAAAAAAAAAGATGTTCTTTATTTAATTTTGAAATACGGGAAAATGTTAGGCTTTCAAACAATATCAGTAATTTCTATGAAAAATACCTTATTTCGAAAATTTAGTATCTTTAATGTAGTGTTTAGACAGTAACAGAGACGATAAGGTTATTCAGGGAAGATTAGGCAGGTGAGAAGCGGGAGAATAGTCTTTAGCTGAGAGAGTGCAATCGTTTGCTTTCGCCATATTAAAAAAAAAAAAGAAAAAAAAAAAAAAACCACTTTATTTTCTTTCTGCTTATCCCAGTATCAAATGCTGAATTTTATTATACGCTAATGCTGATGTGAAAGGCTTGTAACATATATTACTTAATTACTTAAGCAGTCACATTTTTTTTTCCATTGAAAAATTTCTTTGCACACGACAAAAAATTTCTGCAAAACCATCGTAAGCCAACAGGCTTTCCCTAAATAGTCATTCTCATGCTTCTTTTCAATCAGCGCGTAAACCAAATACTGAATGATGCTTTTGCTTTTCATCATTTTCAGTAAAAGCGAATTTTCTCTTCGGATTTCTTTCATAAACTAAAACCGGTACCAGATTTAGGAATTTTAATAGTAGAGTGCAACTTTTACATTAGTTTATTACTAGCCCATTAAAACAAAACAAAAATAACTAATGAGTTCTCCTCTAATCTGCGTCTATACTCTTCAACAGTTTATGCTTCAAAATACTTTTCTTTTGATGAATTTTATGTAACATCTCTCAGAGTGAAGATTTAAAGAAAAAATCATTTAAACTTTAGCTTTGAAAAAATGCACTGAATAACAAATTAAGCAAGTAAACTTTGAATTCCGGAAACACTTGCAAGTTCACATGAATTCAATTTCCTTAGATAAGATTTTTTGACTTAATTTTATAACAGTAACACTTCAAATATTGTAAAAAAGAGTGCATGATTGTGGAAGGCATAAAACTACGACTTCTATTTTCAGACCAAAGATGTTGTGCAGACTTGTACATTAAAAAATTGTGGAATATACTTGCCAGATTATTTTTCGATGGATGATGTTTGCAACGATCATCTCACGTATGATAATAAGGTAAGTTGCAACAATTCAACTTGCACTATAATTAATTAATAAGTTTTAAGTTCATATTTTAATTTGACTAGAATCATGACATTAATAATGACCATGCAGACAAGCATAGTTTAAATCAATGCTTGATAAATGAAATAGCATTAAGCAAAAATAATAAACAATAGGAAGGTTTAGTGGAAACAATTATAATTTATTCATCAGTTTGCTTGAAATTTTAAAAAAATGCGAATTATAATAAAGGGTAAATAAATCGAATTGTCATGAGGAACATTGTAAGGAATAAAGTTAACAAAAGAATTGTTTGAATTTATATTAAACATCTGAACAATAAAATGTTTCGACAAAAATATCAAGTTGTTAAAATAGTATTCGACATATTCATCTTATCTTACAACCTGCAATAGCTGTTGACCGCTATTTCAAGAATTCGGTGGGCTTCGAATCTTTATTGCATAATCAGGGTTAGCATCAAACATTTCCTTAGCATGCTGAAGGTGATTCAAAGTTAGTTCATGTTCTTTGCAAAGTTAGCCCGTGTACGTAGATGTAATAATTATTTTCTTGTTTGCCCTCCTTATTGTTCTTTCTTCGTTTAGCATGTCATTTTAGTTAAAGATCATTCTGTATGATCATTATGCATATTTCTCATTCTTCATTATAGAACTAATCCAGTTTAAGTCCTCTTTCGTTTTTGCTAACCTTCTCAATAATATAAAAGCTCAGTTTGTAGATAGTGAAATCCTTTGAGCAATAAGGTGACATGCTGTTACTCAGCCTTCTTACTGCGCGTAAAGTTAAAAATAAATAATAATAAAAGAAATAAAGAAAAAAATAATTTTTCTTTGCCTGGGAATCTAAATTTCTTTAAATTAAATGTATTTGCCTAGGGACTTCGCGCTTAAATTTTCTTTACTTAGAGGCAACTTAAACTCTTTCCCTGGCAATGTTATACAGGAAACTCTAAAATTATGCGTGTTTTGTTCTGAGTTTTTCTCATCATAATCTCAGCATATGCTAAAATTTCACTAGCCCAGATTTGGAATATAACGAAACTGTGTGATAAGATAATGAAAATCTAATGTCAAAATGAACTAGAATAAAACAGAATTTCTTGCAAAAAGTTTACCTTTACCTTCTTGTGAAATACCAGCGCTTCTAGTATAAAATTTTCAACGAGTTTCCACGTAGTGAACACGGGTCATTTAGTTTCTACAAATTCGATTGCTTGCCAGTACTTTCTCACAGAAAACACTTGCTAACTATTGGAAAGCGAAACATGCATTAAGAAGACATGTGAGTGTATTGGTAATGAAATTCTTCATACAATAAAGGCCAGTTGTACCACTAGAGAAAGAAGGCAATGGTCTAGGAGTGTCGATACAAAGAAGCAATTTTTTCACCTAAGCAATTGAAAGATAAATAGTTCAATCTTTTCGGTTTTAAAGTCTAGCTAAATATATTGTTTAATATGATGTTAAATAAATAGTATTTGATAGTTGTGAATAAATATACAGTAAAACCTTTCATGATGCTTACCTGTGTTAGATAATCTTTGAAAGTGACGAACACTTATAAAAGCTTAGTTAAATAATGGTGTTGAACATACCGATAATCATATTCTCTAACGAATTGCTTTCACAGAAGAAAAAAAAATCGTTCATAAATATAAGTTAGTGTCTTATGTCGGTTTCGCAGCATATGCTATGTATTGTTACGCCCTTGTTATTCATTAACAGAGTATTAGTGAATAAAATTAAGCGCTTTTACAATGCATAGGGGCGCTTAAAATTTTCTTTGCTAGGGACATCAGATATTCTTTACCAGCCATCTATTCAGCAAATTATAAATTCATACATTCATGCCTAATCAGCTTTAATGTTGCCTTCAAAAGGTTCAAAAAAAAAATGGCCGTTTTATTAATGATCAGGCAATCGAATTAGCCAGACTATTGGCTCAATCAAGCATCCTTCCATGGCCTCGTTTAAATTTCAAATAATCAACTAAAACAACTTATTTCAAAATATTGGCAAGCTCTGTGGAATAATGCTTCACAGGAGAAGACGCACATATATTCCCAATGTAAGCTTCACATCTTTGCATATTTTTGTACTCTACGGCCGCTACCCAATGTATTTCTACGCAAGAGATATGGCAAACTCCGATATCTGTACATGTGGGGAAAACAGAGAACTGCTTATCATTACACTTTCTCGTGCCCCTTAACTGATGATAATCACATAAAATCCCCAAACATTGATATCCTGGCATTTCTAATTGAAGATAAACATGAGTATCCTAAGTCTAAAAATATTATGCAACGCAACCACTCACTTCCTAAAGTCAAAATCTTGGTCATGTTTAAGTTACTCATGCTGCATAAATTTAATTAACTTTTACATCCTGTGAATTTGTTCAAAAGAATTCCACTTATAAATTACAATAACCTGCTCCAAGATACCATTTTTAATTTTTTTTAATTGTGTTGGTTTCTCATCAAAATTGTTTTCTGTTTTCCCACACCCTGAGATTTCAGATTCATACTTACAGAGATTTTTTTTAATGTTTTTTGTCAAACAGTTTTACCCCTTTGACACTTATTTATATTACTAGTGCAATTCACTATAACACTGTGTTCCCAATACTTATTATATTTATCTCATTATACTTATTCCCTATTTATTGTATTTATCTGTTATTTTTGTTGCATCAAAACAAATGGTCTTAATTTAATTTGTGAATTTCAAATTGTATTGTAAGCTCATTATGTCCTAAATTAGAATTTCAAATTGTAATGTATTTTATTATATTCTAAATTATTACTTTTAATAAATACTGGATGCAAAGTATATGATGTCCCATAACAGGTAAACTCAAGATCCTTTGGAAAGCTTCAGATGCTAGCCTTCTCAGCGGAACTCAACATTTTCTTAGTAAACTCTTATTAAGCTTGCATTTTTTAGAGCTGGTTAGTATGGGAAGGCATGACTAGCTGACCCAAACTTTTGCCTGTATTTGTAACTGTACCTGCCTTCAACAAAAACTTTTTAACACAGTATCTAAAACATATTTTATTATTTACATTATCATAAAACAAACACACATTCAAAATAACAATTATTGTTTCCCAAAAGGAACTTTTCTGAAAAATTTTCTCAGATACACTTCCTCGTGTTAATATTACCTCCAAACTTTATCTAGACTACAACATATGTGCAGTTCTGCCTCATCGGTTTCCTTGTGTTCGTATAATTATTTCTAACATGTCAATATTTCCTTCATAAAAAATGCTAGTCTAGCGATTCAATATGTTTTCCTTACAATCATGTCTGAAAATCCGAGGTATAGCGATTACACAATTATTCGCAGTACTCCTTCTCCTCCCGAAAAAGATGCCAAAGTATGATATTCGCTTTTCATATCAAAACTAAAAAATACTCCTTCTTTACATTTAACAGAGGGCGTGACCATTTCTCAGCCTTTTTGTCTCACACTGAATTTTCGTATTTTGTATCAGACTGCTCAGAAGCCTACGAGTAACAAGTCCTGTTCCTCAAGTAAAGCAGTTTTCAATTTCGAAATGCTCCTTCATAGAACCTGATGGGATGCAATTAACTTCCCTAGCTCAATACACTCTCATTCTATGGGACTCAGACCTGAAGACTTTGATAGCTCCGAATTTTTTTAATTGGATATCTTCAGTTCGGTGATACCTGAATATCTGAGATCGCAGAAGATTATCGTAATCGTCCATGAATACGATTTATAGACTCGGATCTCGCAAAAAACTGAGCATGAGGTTCCAGTAAGTCTTCTTTCTACCTTCATATCTGTAAACAGAATTTCTGTCGAAGATTTAGACCTCTATGCGCAGATCATAACCTCTCCTAATAACAAACTATATACCACTTAAAAATTAGTCTCTTTACCTTTTAAAGGGAAAGTAGCATGTTTCCTGTTTTCTCCTTATCACTATGGTAATAATCAGATGAAAATGGACTCATTGCTGATGAGCATATTGCCCCAGTGATTTAGAATCCAATATCAGTGTTTCTGATTTCACTGTAAACGTCTATACCTATGCGCACTGGTGAGAAAAAGACGAAGTGTTGGATGTTTGTTATACAAATAAGCTTTGCTGATATTTTGCAAACATAATTAGAAGCAGTTACTTACTCCTGCAGAATCTGTTCTTCAAAACGTCCACTGACAAATAATTTTCTAAATCGCCATGCAGTTAACTTCAGTTGTCTGTCTAGTAACTAATTTAACTCTTGGATGACGGACAATGTAACAGTAGTCGTCAAAAGTATGCAACGTTTTGTAGTCTTCTCCAGGATCTAAATATGTTGCTGTTGTGATTTATCTCACTTGTCTGACAGTCAAACATTAGAACAAGATCACGAAATTTATCGTAGCAAGGAGTGCAAGACTGAGCCTTGAGCACCATATAGATGACGGCCTTACTTTTGCTCAGTTCCGCCTCCAATTTTGATGCAGAACACCTCAGGGGTCTGGGTCTGAGCGTCTCCCACCCCTCGGTCCCTACCATCAACCTCTCGAGAGGAGTTTCGGCTCGCCACATATTTAATGTGTCTTCATGCTTCACAGACACTATACATTTAAAAACATCCGTGCCTTCTCCGACATTTGAACCCTTGCACTTCTGTACGGCAGTCAGAATATCACTAACCACTCTCTTGGTTGGGCGGCAGAATCTAAATATTACTCATTGTAGCACATTCAGTTCTCTAGAAACGATCTATAGATATTTTAGTTCCAAATAACCCGCTGTTCCCCTTTTTAAAAACTGGTGTGTGTTTGTGTTTCAGTCATCTTCCGTTGTGCCAATTTCGGGCTCAGTTTTGTATGAGTGTCCTCATGTATGTATATGCATATTAAGTTCTTACGAAAAAAAAATGTATTGCATGTTTCTTTCAGAAACGATGCTTCATCATGTGCACTCAGGCTCTGATGGATCATGTGGTAAGTATAAATAAATATCGCACATAATTTAAATATTTTCATGAAATTTTAAAATTCAATATCACTGAAAAACCCAAACCATCTTTTTAACTTTGCTTGAAAGACCTCTGCAAATTTCGAAATCAATTATTACTATTTGAATTTTTCTTCTTTAATGAAAATCTACTCTTTCCTCCCTAAAGATGTCTAGTATCTTCCTGTTTTCCAAATTCAGGGTATTTTTCAAATTATAATTGACAAAAGAAAATATATAACACTTAACATAGTCTTGTTAAGTTCTCATGACGAAAATGCATTTTTAGCATTCTAGTAGTGGAAAACTTGTATTATTTTTCAAGTTTGTCAAAACTGAGAAATGTTTGCGAATTATTGAATTGGAATCGAAAATTTTTATAGCATCTGCCTTCTTCTCATTACGATACTTAAGCACTGAATAGCGTCATGTTTTCAGAAAATTGAAATGGGTATCAAAGTTGTGTTAAATAGGCGTTCGTAATGAGATGTAACTAATGTGTCCATTCCTTCATCATGAGGAAAACTATTATTATGAAAATAGCGCATCGGAAGAAGAATGTAAATATTCTGCTGGATCAAAGAAGGTTGTTCCACAAGAGATGTATCATCAGAGGATGGAGTGGCATACGTTTTAAGGAGATTTAACATAGGGATGAGGTAACTGAAGAATAAAATGTTGACGCAGGAAGATGTCAGCACTATACAAGTATCTTTTTATCTCTTTTTGTAGAGATTTCATTCAGAACCGGTTTGTCAAACACTCTGACTTAAAACCATTTCGGAAAAGTGATTTTGGTTGACAAATGAGAATTTGTATTATTAAAAAAAATGAGCCTCATATTACCATGGGTTTTAACCACTGAGGAAACAACTGCTAAGTGAGACAATGAAGTTGCTGGGCAAAAGAACTTAAAGCATAAACAAGGAAAACAGAGGAAAAATGTATTTTAGAAGAAAGGAAATTTAACTTTGCATCTTTGATGGAGAGCAGCATACAAACTGCCAAGTTTCAAAAAAATATCCTGATGATAAAAAGAAAGGAAAAAGTATCGTAAGGAAGAGTGAGGAAAATTATAAAGCAAACACGCTGTGAAATGGTTTGCACATTTCACATGTGCATTCACATGCAGTTGGATTTCACATGTAGGCCATGTACGTTTTATAGTTGACAAAATTACACATTCTTCTTAAAATAATATTTATAATGTGTTAAGGAGTGGTTTACCTATTATTTTTACCACTTAAGCACAGATTAACTCAGGGTAAGTAATATAATGATTCTTAGCATGGGAATAGCTGCAACCTTAAGACCTGATTAAAAGTTTCTAAGACGATTTAAGTGCAGATTAGCTCAGGGTAAGTAATATAATGATTGATTCCGTTGCACAGAAAGAGCTGCAACCTTAAAACCTGATTAAAAATTGCTAGTCCAAAAGCACCGAAAGTTTACAGGAAACCTTCATCCGAAAGGCCTTTAGATGAGATGCTAAACAATATTTGGCATCATCATCGAAGAAGAAAGTTACTTCTAAATGAGATGAGGTTTATTACGCGGATAAATATGTAACTATTATCAAAGCGAAATTTGTTCAATTCTACCTTCTCTTTTTTATATATAAATATAGTATACATATATTGCTAGCTTTACTTTTTGAAAGTTAAAGGAGAAAATTGTAATTAGTGTGTGCCACTTCCAAAGAAACGCGTTTAAGATAGGAATAACCATAGGGCATAAGAATATACATAATACATAGGGATAGAGTACTTAATTTTACTACATTCTGAATATTTCAATGCACTCAGTTATAGTTAATTATTTGTCTTCCCATAATGTAATATTTTCCTATCTGTCCGCATCTTTTACGCTGTTAACATAAATCAGAAGTCTCTAAATCACATGCTGAACAAATCCATGGAGATGGATTATGAAAGGGGGAGAATTATGTGAGTAAGTACTGTATTCCTTTGTTTCTGTTATTAAAAAATCATGCAGTTATCAACATTTCAAAAAATCTTTATCAAACACTTCTTAAACTAGAGAGGGTGTTGACACATTTTTTAGGATGATTTTGATAAAGAATTCAAAAACAGCAAATGTTCTAGAATAAAAATTTCTGGAAACAGCTTATTTCTTGAAATGACAAATATCGTCCACTACTTTAAATTTATTTTTCTTTCAAAATGTCGTATGTAAATAAGCGTAATAAATTCAAAATGTCTTATGTGGATTAAAGGATCTGCTTTCGTACTTTCCGAAGAAACAAATTTCTATTCCAATTAAACGTTGTGAAATACATGGTATTAAAATGTCAAAGCATAAAATAAGCAACATTATTAATCGGAAAGGGAAAAACCTTTAGTCATTACCTCTACATGGAAAGAATCCTCGAAACGAATACCCGAAAAAAGCACGTAATCCTGACGCAGAAACAAATTGCAAAGACTTTAAATGGACCTGTAGCAACAATAAATAAAATAATAAAAAGATTTACAACTTAAAAAAGCTAAAAAATATAATGTTCATCAGTTCTTGTCGAGGCATGTGGCTCAACGCAGATACTATTTAACTATTTAGCAGGCGATAAATGTAAATACATTGTGACCCTTCATGAAGCCTGGATTAATGTAAATGTCTTCAATAAAAAAAAATTTAAAAGAAGGTCTATTTATTACTGAAAACGAAGAGGAAAAAATATATAAACCTGGTTGCTTTTAATGCAAAGAAAGTTTCAGTAAAAGGTTTATGATAGTCGCAGGATTCTCTTATAATGAATGAAAAATTTAGAGGGGGGGGAATGTGTTAAAATCAACGCAGCGTACTATGAAGAAACGATTTTATGTCTTATGTTTACAGCAGAAATTCCATTTCTTTATCCCAATGACTTTTAAAGAGTGAAACTTCATCTAGATAAAGCAATAATCATACTTCGAAAAGTACCAACGTATTCCTTGAAAAAATGAAGACTGCTATAGGTATTGCGATATAGATTTTCAACGTATTCCTGCGCAATCCCCCGATGTCTCACTTATGGACTATTGGGCTTCTGGTGCAGCCTTTTCTAAGCGCAAACCCATTACTATTGATGGACTCTGGAAGGTAGAGAAGGAGGAATAAAAATCAATACCCCTGGTACTTTTACGAAAATCCTCGTATCATGGAAATTATGAGGCAGGGTCCAGAAAAAAAGGCTATCAGATGGAACATTTAAGAAATACTCTTTATATTTTTAATATTAGTTAAACGGCCCCGAAATCGTTCTAAAAATGTGTAAAAACCCTCTGAACAAACTTCTCGTAACAGGTTATTCTCTAATGCATGTACCCAGATTTGATGCAATAACTGATGCACCAAACATATTTTACTTTATTAAACTGTTTCAAATATTACTGAGTAACACAACCCTACTGCAAATAGTTCGTATTTGCTCGTATTTGCTGAAATTTCGAATAAGTAAATATTTCGACGTATTCTAATTGGATAGTTCAATATGGAAGCATAATGCAACAAAAGTGGTGCACCAAAATTTTGTCACAAAATCTGAATCTCCACACTAAGTATTTCAGACAATATTCAGACTTCTGTTATCATTCGAAAATTTTGAGGATTGTTGACATTCGTTGATATTATTCTACTTGCTAAGAATATAAAAGTAAAAAATTTAAGTTACATAATAACGCATACTGAAATTTACTCATGAGAAAAGTAAAAGTGTAACACTTACATTGACATCAAGGTTTATGGTTTTCACATCAGCATTCTTCTATTATTACCTTTTAGACAATGTGTTCATGCGGCTAATTTTCTGTTACATTGGCAATGAATCAGCATTTGAAAGTCAGAAACGCTGCCAGTGTGAAAAAAACGTATGAAATTTTGAAAAATCCCACTTGGAAGAAGAATATAAATGAAATGCAAATAAAACATAGTTCTACAATTTGAAAGGTCAGTCGGTATCTTTTCTTCTAGCTATGACAGTGAGAGACAATTTTACTTGCATTATTATTATTCCTCTTGCTTAATTTTATCCCTTACAAGTTAAACTTATCTGATATAGCCATTTATAACAATTACTATTTCTTTCCAGCTACATAAAATATTGCTTTTTTTTTTTTTTTTTTGCCTGTAAGCAACTGAAAAAGGATAAATCAAAATACTAGAAAATATTGGCCAGAATGAGTATCACTAAGCCCAGGAAAGTTTTATGTCATCAGCAAAATACCGATGGATAAGGAAAACTTTGAAGACCTTTCGCTGAGGGAATGGATACAAATGTTTTCGCATCTGCCTGAGAAACGAATATCTTTCTACATATATTAATAGAAACTGATAAAATAAAAAAAAATTAATTTTGTGAGACTATAAATTATGAAACTATTTTTCGAATAGAAAATTCGGTAAACATTGGAAAAGCTGGATAGCAGTCTGATGTGTATATTTGCGAAAATTTCTTATAGAAGTCCTGTGACAAAGAACTACGAAAAAGGTTGGATGACCATTTTTGAAATCATATGAAGTTTTGAAAACAAATACTTTTTCTTCACTTTGTGCATTTTAAAGTAGTTCCTTCTATGTTTGTCTGGGCGCATGAAAGTGACTGCTTTTACCAAATTTTTTTATATTGAGAAATGGCATCAAGCCTACTGGACTCAACTTTCTGACGTCTACTGACTTAATGAGAGACCAATCCTCAAGCGAAGTGCGGCAGGAAATCGTACATCTCTACATTTAGATGATTTTCTTTCTCGATGCAAATATAAATTTATGTATTGCAAGGTTATTACTATTATTTTACATAACCAGTTATTTATAATTTCAGACTTTACTGTCACTTCTATTTTTCGTTGTCCTACCAGAATGCAAATTAGTTTGAGGTTATTTAAGCTGGGGTTTTCGAATTGTAAGACAGAGGGTGTTTCTTCCTCTCGAAAGCACTTTATTAGGTTTCGCTAGCTCTGATAAACTTGTATTACTTCGGCTTTACATTATTGCTGCCGACATTTAGAGTCGTAGCTAGGGTTTTCAGCGCCCAGAGACAACTGAAGATTTCACGCCCCCTACTGCTTGCCAAGGATGGACAACCTCTGCTACGCCCCTGCCATGTTAGGATGGAGTTTACTAAGTTTTTTTTTTTAAATTGACTTTTACTTTAAGTTACCACATTGCAAGTGGTGTTTGAGTTTGTCAAGCACGAAAAGTGCGTTTTATGTTGAAGTCCTGATTTTAAAAAAAGGTACTTTAAAACTTTTCGAGACTGTCGTATTATAGCTGTGTATGGAAATACACAGAGATAATTCGCTTTTGTTAAGAGTTTGATGTTAGTTTAATCTAACAGATAGAACCAAACTCTATAGTATACTTATATACTAAATTTTAACGGCGTGTCAATAAAAATCCTTATCAATAAAAATATTCTCAATACATACAAGTACAATGTCCGAAATCCGGAACTTCGGATTTTAGATCATCAATCTATATCTAGTAAAATGATATGTGGACATAGTAACACTGCGGCTTCACTTATTGTTCAAGTCAGATCGAAAAATGCTAACCCCCCAACCACACACACACACAACCACTCAAGGCAGATTGTAGCAACATCAATACAACGCAAGGCAGATTGTAGCCAACATCAATCAATATATTGTCACTAGCCACGATGCGATTGCCAAGTCAGCGAGTGTTTGAAAAAGACAGGAATCTCAGTTAATCGCATTTTACGGCCCATCTGCTTCCTTTTGTTGATTATTCTATTATCCATTCTTAAGAGGGATTTTTTAAAATTATTATTTTACTCATTTATTTGTTCATTTTGTGCTAGTAGTCTGGATATTAGATCATTTCGGCTATTGGAGGTCCGGATTTTGGACTTTGTACTGTATTTGGACTCGGCAAAACAACGGTTATCACATTCATATACAATGGAACTTCAGATCATAAATGCCTCACATCACGAACAAATTATCTGAATAAACCTGAATACACCCGAAATTAGATGATTAACAGTGTCTCGACTTACGGACACTCAAATCGCCAATATACAGTTTTCAGAGATATTTTGAAGTAATCTATGTCACAGTTGAGTGTTATTTTGTTTTAATTGAGTCTTTATTATAGCACTCAGTTGCTGGGTTATACATTTGTGCGTAAAGTAATGTTGCTAAGTTTTAAATAAACACACATCTGCGACTCAGGAACGAATTAATCCATTTTACATTAATTCCTATGCAGAAAATGGCCCACTAGAGGCCAAGTGATGATAGCCTTGTAGTTCTACCTGGGCTCGATTCCAGGTAAATGGGCTGGCTGCATAGGCGTTTTCATGGTTTTCCCCATTTGTAGCGTGGATGCGAGCCAGTTTTCCTTAGAAAGTCTTTCACGAAAGCATCCCTTCAATTAGGCAGGTAGGCTTCGAGTGCTTTGCTTTAATCAAATAGTAAATCTATGGTTGAAAATTTCACTTTACAGACTTTTCGATTAACAAAAAGCCTTCAGGAATAAATTTAAATTCGTGAACCGACATTTCACTGCATTTTGATTCATGTGACCAAGAAAAATTTGTTAATCAGCGTTCAGTTTTTCTTATTCTAAGCTACAACCGCGACTCCCCACCACCATTTATTTTTAGAATAAAAAAGATGAAACTAAACGTTTGCTGAACTACTGTTGATTTTCTATGCGAGTAAGATACTGGCTTAAAATATTATATTCGTATTATATAAACAGAAAATTAATAAAAATACTTTACTTCACAGGAAAAATTACAGAAGAATCCAGCATTCAGTTTAGTATATGAAAGTGCACTTCAATCAGGGGTAAGCATAAAGCTTTTAAACAGCATAATCTTTTTTATTACCATTATTATGACTAATGTGAAGTGTGGTCCTAGTACATCATTTTCAATAACGTAAAAAAATTACACTTATAAGGAGCATTTGGTTGCAGGACAATAACCTACAAAACTTTATTGAATTTTGTTCCATACAAGCATAAGGAATATTAAAAAAATCATTGTCTTAAATCATTATTCTAACAGTATTTTTTTTAATGCAGACGATCTCATCATAATTTATAATTTAACTTTAAGAAAACGTCTGTACTAACATTTAAGTATTAATTAATTCCATTTTCACTATAATTCAGTTTCTTATCAACCACTTCATATACAGTGGCTCCCCAAAGTGTTCGTACACTTATGATTTTCTTTGAAATAGGGCTCTATCCATTAATTAAAAGTAAACTTTCTGAATGAGATTTTAATAATAATATCTATAATTAAGTCTATATTATAATAATAATATTTATAATTGTGTAGACACAATAACACGCCGAACAAATACTAATTCAGAAGTCAAACAACAAAAATCAGCGTTATATTTTCAAATTTTCACATTGGGAGGATGGTGGTTCGGTAAAACCATCGAAACTAGTCCTGTGAAAATTTGAAAATATAACGCTGATTTTTGTTGTTTGACTTCTGAATTAAGATCTATAATTTATTTGTAACAAAATTACATGAAATATTTTTAAAATATAGCGAAACTTTATTTTTAAGAAATTAATAATCAAAAAATGACAAATATTTTATCTCACAAAAGTTTTCGTACCCTTCAAAAAATCTTGACATATTAGTAAATATTTTCATTTTTCGTTAAATTAATATTTAGTAGGATATCCTTTAGCATCCACAACAGCTTTTGAGCATCTAGAAATAGAATTTATTACTTTTTTTGTAATTTCTGTATCAATGTTCATCCATTCTTCCATCATGACTGTTTTAAGTTCGCTTTTCGTTCGCATATCTGTTTTCGTACCCTAACTTCCAGTTCTTTCCAAATGTGTTCTATGGGGTTTAAATCTGGCGACTGAGGTGGTGTTTTTATAGAGACACCACAGGCGAACGTTCAGAGCGTATGCTTAGGATCGTTATCATGATTAAAAATAAAATTGTTCAAAATACCCAAATTTTGGGCTGATAATTTTAAATTGTCTCTTAAAATATTTAAATAAAGAGAATGATTCCTTATGCCATCAATAAATAGCAAATTACTTAGTCCTGATGCTGCCATGCAACCCCACACAAGAACACCTCCACCGCCATGCTTAATTGTTCCAACTAAGTTCTTAGAATGAAGTTCCTCATTTTTTTTTCTCCATACAGTTATTCGACCATCGGAACCAAAAATGTTAAATTTGCTTTCGTCAGCAAATAGGGCATCATTCCAATGCGTTTCGTGTGTATTTATCATTGATTTTGTGAATGAAAGCCTAAGCTTTCTGTTTTTCTCACTAACAAAAAACTTTTTACGGGCAGAAGCCCATGCAATCCAGCTTCTCTGAGAACTTGTCGAACAGTTTCAGGTGAAATTGAAGTAGAAAACTTTGAATTAAATTCTGCAGAAACTTTTACAGCACTCAAACGTGGGTTTTTCACAAGTTTGCTAATAATAAATCTCTCATCACGTTTAGTTAACTTTCTCGGTCGACCTTTTCTTACCTTGTTTTCAATCCGATTTTCTTCTTTAAAGCGTTTTATCACATACTGCACTGCAGAATGGGATAAATTAACTAATTTAGAGATATTTCGAATTGATTTACCACTACTATGGTGAAAAATTATCAATTTTCGAATGCGGTTTGTAATTTCTTTAAGACTGCGATCCCTTTTTCAGTAATAAATAGAATATTATGAAGAAAACAATAAAAAATTAAAACAAACGATTTTTTAAATGCCACCAGAATGTAACAATTAAAAAAAGCAGCAAATGATAATTCTAATTCTTATTTTATCCAAAAATATTTCAGTATACGAAGACTTTTGTCCGATAAAATGTTTCTCATTTTTTTATTATTAATTTCTTAAAAATAAAGTTTCACTATATTTTAAAAATAATTCATGTAATTTTGTTACGAATAGATTATAAATCTTATTATTAAAATCTCATTCAGAATGTTTTCTTTTAATTAATTGATAGAGCCCTATTTCAATGAAAATCATTAAGTGTACGAACACTTTTGGGAGCCACTGTATATTACGATGCGGACAGATTTATTACGATGAGTTTTGCAGCAGAATGAAGTTGGGAACATCTTCCTTCAACTGAGGGAACAACCATTCTGACAGCATATCTTGGTAAATGCAACCGTTAATTGATTTTTCCATTAAGAAAAAAGGACCTAAACACAACTGTTAGAAATGGCGCAGAAACAATTCACCTTTAACGCTCATGTTCCATTACACCATGTGGATTTTTCAAGTCCTCAAAATCGTAAATTATGGTGATTAAGTTTGCCAGAAATGTGAAAAGTGAGTTCACCCGTAAACGCAAGTACAAGTCTGTTCACGAAACCATCTGCTTCCAACTTACCCTGCAAATTCTGACAGAAGGCAGCGGTTTGTTAAGATGTTTTAATGCCTGCGCCATCTGAAAGATTTACGGTCGGAATTGTAGACATTTCCGTAGCATACGCCACACCATCACATGAGGCACACTAAGTTCCGAACTCGCACGACACGTTGATTTTGTGAGACTTCGTTTCGCGAATATTTTGAACCACTACGACTCTTCGTTCTGGGCTGATTTTCTTACACAAGCAGCCTGTGTCCTGCTTCACCCACCGTTCGATGTTGTGACGATACGATGGTTCTTTACTAAATTTAGCGCGGAAATATCTTTGAACGATAATAAACGATGTTTTGGCGTATTCCAAAGCAAAGTGCGCTTTCTCTTGCACGGATGATTTTGATTAACAGCGTCTCTAGCGGCGATTTCGTATCGCTGATGCCAGATAAAAAATGTATAATTTGGTCTCAGAATTAATTTGTTTCGGCATTATAAATCAATTACAGAATTTGTACTATGCTGTTCTTTTTGTCCCACTGAATATGAAACACCTTGTAGTTTTACTGATATAAACCCCCCTTAGACAATTCTCGGATGTCTTCGAATTAGATTTCGGAGATTCAGTTTCTCAACTGAAATTTATGATTATTGAATCTCTTTCGTTAAGTGGCTTTTAATTTTACAAAGTATTTTATATTTTGAAATATACACAGCAACAAAATAACCCACACACCTAGAAAAAATGTCAGCAATCATAAAATTTAATATGCAAGTATATCTTAACTAAATGCACATAGCATTGAAACAAGCTTTGAGAGCAAAGGAAAAATTCACCCCAAATTATGTACAAACAGCAATGGTTGACTGCTATGACAGTTGGAACTGTATTTTGTTATACAGTCAAAAGTCGTTAATTAGGACACCCATAATCCGGAATGATCTATAATCCGGACCTCAAAGCTACAAACTTTCTGCGCATGCTTCGCGTTCACGCATGCGCACAGGCGTTTACGAGAGCGTGTAAGACCCTTACGGCTGCGAATATGTTTGTGCGCATGCGCGTTTAATGTGTAACGGAGTTATACGCTAAGCTAAAGTTATCTAATTCAGTTAATGTTGCAGATTGCGTTGTTCCTTAATCTTCGAATTGGATCCGGCTTATTATTTTTTGCAGACTGTTAGAGCCATTTAATAAAAGTAAGCTTGAACTTTCGATTATGTCAAATAGAATTTCCGATATATATTTACTACAAAGCGAAAGTATGTTTTGAAATCCGAAATCTGTTTATCAATTTCACGCTGCTCTGCGGCAGAGGGGGGGGCAGAAACGTCATTATTAGATTATGATAGATTAGAAAGATTATGTCAAATAGAATTTCCAATATACATTTACTAATATGTAATTTGTATCTACAAAGCGAAAATATGTTTTGAAATCCGAAATCTGTTTATGAATTTCACGCCGCGGATTGGAAGTTGATCTGTCAACATTATCCTTATCTTCAGAGCAGATGTTTTTATTTTATTTGGATTATAATTCCGTACTAAGTTTAGTATTTCGTCTCGACGTACTCCGTCTTTGATATGATTTAAATCAAGTTCCTCGTCATTATAATTCGCTTCCGATAGTGAAGAAAGTGACCCAGAGGTTATTGAAAACGAAAATATTTCGATTGACAAATTAGTCGGTATTCTCAACACAGCAATTATAGGACTTGAACAGCGGAACTTTGTAACTAAACAAGAAATTGTGTCTGTTTAATAGAATTAAAGAGAAAATATTATCACATGAAACGAAGCAACTTACATTGAAGGAAATGTTTAATAAAGTAAACAAATAAATATTAAGCTTTTTCTTTTTGTAAATTTTGATACCCTTTAGATCATAATTGTTCTTTATTTCATAAATTACGGTTTCATATTTTTAATTTTGTAATTTTTGCATGCCATCTTACCAGATTTAAACTGATGATCTATAATCCGGAAAAATCGATAATCCGGAATCGCCGAAGTCCCGACGAGTCCGGATTAACGACTTTTGACTGTAGTATCTCAGAGGCCAACCCGATGACAGTAAACAGTTTGATAGTGATTTCATCATAGATTTAATCTCTTGCAAAGATCCTTCCTTTTAAAAGTAGCATAGCTTCTTGATTTATTTCACATACAGTACCGTCATAGTTATAGACCCTGTGACTTTTGGCTTGATTAATTCCCATATTAATCCTTTAGTTGTATATGTGAAATCAGAAAATATTTAGCATGCAATATAATGATATAATTTTTAGTTAAAAAATAAAGTTATAAAAAAGTGAGCAAATTAAATAAAAACTACCTTTAAAACTTAAAATGCATTGTATAAAATATTTTGTTTCATTTCAGAATTGCTTAGAGCCTGTTCTAAGACCATGTATAACCTTGTGATTCTTCGACAATACATCTAGATTTGAAGATTTGTCGCTATTGAGTAAATGAACATAAATTCATATTTATTTACATGTTTTTTTAGTGTATTTATTGTTTCACTATTGATACAAGATAAATAATAGAAGCTCTTTACCAATTCACTCTTTACCAAGAGTAGAGGGATTACAGAATTCTTATAACTGAAAAGAGAGAAATCTTTAAATGTGAAACAGAGAGGAAGTGACATGCGAATACCATTTTAACTTTTCTTTGGGTGCTTTTCACTTTTCTAGCTCTTTAAAGTGTCAACTTTCCCATTAAATTTTCAGGAATAAATAAATAAATAAATAAAATCAGAAAAAATGCATTTTCTTAGATCTTCTAGTATTCATTAAATGATCACACTTACTGGCATCATTATCAATAAAAATCTTGCAAATACACATTGCTTTAACTTCTAAATCTTGCTTTTTTAATTGCATTATAAACCCACAACTCACCCAGAAAAGTAAAATAAGTTTTCCATTATTGCTTCATTTAGCTTTTAAATTCCATTTAAAAAAGATGGGATGTTATAAGGCCTCATAATTCTAAGGCCTGGAACTTTTGGCTGTATTTCCCAATCATTCCCTAAAACTTTTATCATAATCATAAAAGCTTTCATCAACATCAGTATCATAAATCTGCATGCAAAAATAAATGAAAAATGTTTTTCAAATCATTTTCCAATAATGTCACATTTTCTTTCCAGTACTCAGAATATTCAAATATTTTATTTCAATGCTCTGAAGCTCATAAATTATACATTGATCAAAATCCATGACGAATAATAAGCATTAAATACAAAGATCAAATGGACTATAATTTTTTTTAAACTGGTCTGTAGCTACAATCATGTATTAATTAAAATATCACTATTTGTTTAATTTATGTCATATAAAAAACAACAAACAAGAATTTAAATTTGAGTTAAATTCTTCCTATATTTAATTTAAATAATTAAAAGAATGTAAATATTAACATGTATTTTTTGGTAGTTCTTTAATTCACTTCAAATCTTAACTTCACTTTCAAGACTATATTTTCTCTAGCTGCTATTTTATAATCTTAACTTTACCTTTTACTATACTTTTTCAATGTCTTGAATAATTTAACCATTTTGCTTTCAATGGAATATATTTACTACTATTTTCATGCATGGAATTTTTCCCCCGTGATTTTAAGCATATAGTAATAATTTTGTAGATGAGCTCTATTAATTGTAATAAATGTAGGATACATAGGACAAAGATACCAATTATTTTTTAGTCATTGTTGAGATGATCGTTGATGTTGCTGGCATACAGATCAAATGCATAGTAGAAGGAAAAATTTAGAGATGTTAGCATAGATAAGAACACATACTTTATTTTCATAACAGAATAGGCCTTAACACGCATACACAGATTTACACAGCATCATTTATGGGTGCAAGATGCATGCCAAAATTTTGAACAGTTTACACCTTCTTACATAAAAGACAAAGTGAAGCAGCAAAGCGATACATCTTAGCAGCAGCAAAACGAAGTCAAAAAAGAGCTGTGCAGTAGTAGGAGTAGTACTTATAAACTTTTATTTCTTTGTTTAAATTCTTCATCTGTAACTGAATCTGAGCTGTCACAATGCAAGAAGATTATGTAAATAAGCATGAAATGGAAACAGCCAGTCCAAAAAAATTATAACTTAGAACAGAAAGAGAAGACAGACAAATTAAAATGAGGAATTAAAAGGAATAATGAAAAAAATTAAAGTTAATAATTTTCAGTTAGCTTATATATATAGTATTCCTTTTACATACATTCATAGTTTTAAACTCATAATTTATATTCATAATCATTTTTAATTTCACTTTATATTCACCATGAAACACAATAACATTTTTTTTTTTTTTTTTTTTTTTTTTTTTTTTGGTTGTGTGTTGTGGTGGTCAACGAAACGATTGTGATAAACTTTGTAAAATAAATGGATACAAAAATTTTTATTCCTGAAAAAATTTATTTCATTTTTAATTCATACTATTAAAGTTTTAATTACTTGATCTAAAGCAGTTATGAAGAAATGAAAAATTATAAAAATATAAAAATATGAATTCAAATTCAAAATTAAAAACATTATTGATAAATCAATTGAAAATGAACATATACACATACTGGGCATTAAAATGCCCCATTATATATTTAGTCTTATTTAAGCACTAGATAATGCTATGTCCTATTAATAATCTACAACTTTCATATTTGCAGTATATCAACTAAAAGGAATGGTAATAAATATGATAAATGAAAAAATTTTGAGATTCATGTATTTTAAGTCTAACAGAAACTAGAAATCTTATTACAAAACATAAATCAGCAAAAAAATTAAAAATTCTTTATAAATTGTCAGCATCACAGATTATTTACACCATACACATAGTTACTTATCCAATAACAGTTCTATAGCAGTTATTTATTATCAACAGACCTAATTACATTAAATTTAATATTTTGCACTATTTTATACACTTGTATTTCAAATTAAATTATGCAATACGAAGTTTAAAAGAATTTCCTAAAAGTATTTAATAGTTTTCTATTTCAATTAAAATTTAAATAAAAAAAGCTGAGTATTTAAAAAGTAAAATATAAAAGTGTAATATGTTACCTTCATCATTTAAAAAAAACTATGAGAGTAAATTTAACAACAGATGATTCTCAAATCAAAATTATGAGGTCTACTAGATTATGGAAATCATATAATATGAGATTCTAATTATAAAAATGCATTTACAGTAACATAAAAATGCCCATTCTACATTTAATACACAATAAAAGAACAATTAAAAGACTCATTATTTAAAACTTTATGAACATAAGAACTTGAATAACAGGCATATAAAAATAAGCACTTACTTGAGTACTATGTGTTATCTAGCTTGATAAAATTTGTATTGGCTCAGAAATATAAAAACAATACCTATATATTTTTCCTTTAAAATTTTTCTAATAAAAATTAATAGAAGTCATATACATTTGAAATTCAACATACTTTTGGCACTACTTTCATATCACACTACTAACAACTAGGGGAAAATATATGCTATTTTTAATCAAAAATGAAAAAGAAATGCAATTTAAAGTTCAGGAAGGTCGGACAATTCCCTTCTTGCAGAAAAGTAATAATTCCCTCAGGTTAAAAACTTATACTAACAAAAAAAAAGAAAAAGATACATTTCAAATAACAAGTCTTCTAAACATAAAAACTTCAATACTTCTGAAGTATAAAAATAGCTTTTTTTATTTTTTTAAATATTATGCTGAACTATTTCTAAATTTAAAAATATATATTATTATTTTGCACAACAGTATTCAGTAATCATTTTATTACATTGTTCAAGAATAAATGTAGAATTAGGAAAAGTGAAAAATGAATGCAGTCATTGTAATACAACAATTATTATCAGGTAGTTGCATTATGTAGCATTTTAGAAAAATCTGTCTAATGTCCAATAACAGAAGCCAGAAGTGCCATACGCACAAACATTCCATATCTTGCTTGCCTGAAATATACTGCACGTGGATCACTATCAAAATCAGTGCTATAAAAGAAATACAGAACATTATTGTTTAATAACAGCTATTACTTTTTAATACCACAAAATCACAGTTGTGAATTTTTATTACTTGGGCAAAATTCACTAGTTGTACATTTCCAAATATGATGAATATTTAGTAAAATAATTATCCATGGCCATTAAAAATTTTGATCTTCTGTGAAGATAATTGCTTTAGAGACAACAGCAACTTGTAACTGTAACTATTGGTTTGATGCAATAAAAATTTTTAATTCAATAAATATAGGTATATTTTTAGAAACTATATTCCTAATTTTTTTAATTAAACAATAATTTCAAATTTTGTTAAAACTCCATATTTTATTTTATTTCTTATTATTATTCTCATATGAAGGATTGAATATACACTCTTAGACAAAAAAAAATGATGCATCACAACGCACCAAGAAGATATAAAGCAAATTGGACACAAATTGATGTGGTACATGTTTTGATGGAAAATGCAAAATTTTACATTTTGGCTGCCAATGAATGAACAGTTGTCGCTACAGCGCATCTAGTCTGCGCAACTGGCAGGATATTGAAGAGGAGAAATTACGATTCCAAGTCATAAATTCTTCACGAATTTCATTCTGTGTACTCTGGTAGACAGTAACTATGCCTCGCATACAGCTGCGCGAACGATATGCGCAGATGTCAGAATTTGAGAGAGGTCGTATAGTTGGGCTCAAAGAAGCTGGTTGGTCTAACCGGCAAATAGCTCGACATTTGAGCAGGAGCAATGCCACTATTAGACGACGTTGGCAGGAATGGGTGAACCATGGCCGCATAGCGTCAAGAAGGAAGCGGTAGGCGTAGAGAAACAACAGAATTGTCAGAGTGGCACTCACAGCCCCAGATGCATCATTATCATAAATTGTACATGCAACTAGTACTTCAGTGACCACAAGGACCATTCATAGATGGCTCACAGAAAGGGAGCTGAGGTCACGTCGCCCCTTGTGCCGACTACCATTGACCTCTGTAAGACATCAAGCCCGTTTTCAGTGGTGTCGGGCTCATTCGCACTGGAATGTCACTGACTGGAGTAGAATAGTCTTCAGTGATGAGTCCCGCTTTGAACTGAGCCCCAATGACCAGCGAAGGCAAGTCTCGAGACACCCCGGACAGCGGTGTGATACCAACCTGACTGTCTTCCGGCAGACAGGCCGACAACCAGGAGTGAAGGTCTGGGGTGCCATTTCATTTCATAGTAGGAGCCTTTTGGTTGTCGTCCGTCAAACCTTACAGTACAGCGGTACGTCGACGAAGTTCTAAGGCCCGTTGTGTTGCCCTTCATGTCAGACCACCCTGGGATTACATTTTAGCAAGATAATGCCCACCCCCACACTGCACATGTTTCTACTGCTTGCCTTAGTGCTTGCCGAGCATTATCTTAGCCAGTAAGGTAGCCGGATCTCTCTCTCCTATTGAGCATTATGGGAAGGGCACTCCAACTAGCTCGGGATGTTGATGATCTAACACGCCAGTTGGACAGAATTTGGCACTATATCCCACAGGAGGACATCCGCAATCTCTATCAATCGATGCCAAGCTGAATAACTGCTTGCATAAGGGCCAGAGGTGGACAAACACATTACTGACCTTTTTCACTTTGTGAAGCTCTATCACTTCAATAAATCATCCAATTTTTCTCAAACGGTAATCATTTGTTTTTCTGTACAAGTACATCACTTCTACCAATTTTCGTCCCATTCAGATAACTCCTTCTTGGTGAGTCTTTTCCCCCCCCCCATCTAAGAGTGTATTTCAAAGATTCAAGAATCTTTTAAGATCAGACTCACCTCTGCACATAATAAAACATTTAAAGTGTACTTTTAAACAAAACAAAGTCAATAAACCATCTAATAAAGATAATCACCATCATAAAATAAGGATATTTTTTTCAGAAATATGTAAAAAACTGTTTTCTATAAGCAAAAATAAAAATAAATAAATAAATAAATAAAAACACCACAAAAAAATCTTAAATGTTTCAAATCTTAACTTACATTCAAAGGAGCATTTTTTTTAACGTTTTTGTGTGTTACCTTTATTTATTAAATGTCATGTTCTTTGCACTTAAACCATAAAATTTAGTTCAATAGCAATGTCGCAAAATAACTTTAAAATGAGCATATCTTTAGAATTTCTGATACACAGTTCGACATGCTAGAGATAAAAAGGTTCCCCCTCCCATACAGTGTTGCCATTGCTCGCTTTTAAATCACTGAGTTTGTTACTCAAAAATTCGTTCAAGTTTTACAAACTACGAAATCGATAATAAAACAAATTCCAAATTTCAAATTTGGGATTTCAGATGCCCATATTCACATTAGGATTATGCCATTCAAAATCAGTTGGCTCTAGATACAGTTGTTTTATTACAATGCGAGAAATATACATACATTTATGCAGATTTTTATAATGCAGGACTCTAACATTTTGTGGCAACAGTTTGAAAAGTGAACCGACATTTATAGGAGCGAAATGCAAAATGAAAGTAATAGTCCTTCGGGGCTCAAATCCCTTTGGACTAAAAAGTTTCATTTATACAGTACATAGGAATATTTTCCATTGATACAAAATTTCAGACTTTTTGTGCTTAAGAATAAATGTGTTTGATAATCTTAGTCAGAGCAAAGAGTAATCAAATGCATTTTATATATCAGTCTTAATCAAGTTTATTTTATTTATTAGTTTTACTGTTTGTACACTGCTCAAAAAAAAAAAAAAAAAAAAAAAAAAAAAAAATGGCAGTGGGAAGTGCTATGTTTCCTGTTCTACTGGGCCGATTAATAAAATTATATACTTTTTCTACTTTTGAAAATTTTATTCTGTTTCTCGAAAAGCAAGCGAGGAACTTGCAAGATGTACACTGCGGGATGGGATGAGACAGTTCTATATCTCCCGTTCTACTGGGCCGATTAAAAAAATTCAAATTGTGTTTTTGATGTCTTGAAAGCGTGACTTAGGATATATATATATTAGATTTATATATAGCACTATTCTAACATAGGTATTTTGACACAAAATCGGACTTTTTGTGAAATAACATACCAATTTTTTGCCATATTTCGATTCTACGACTCAAATTATGCCAGAATGCCAAGATTTGCATACGAGTAGTTTTTAAAATATTAGCTCTCAAAATTTTAGCTCCTCAATGTTAGTTGAATTTGGCAAATATTTATTAATATTTCTTTTTTTATTAAACTTTTTTGATTTTTTCTCTCACATTTCGAAATTTAGGTTCATTCCAAATAAAATTTACCCATTTTTTGTGTTTTATTTTTTAAATTTCTATTTTTTAAATAATTTTTATAAATTTTTCGAAAAAAATTTTGAATTATAACCTATAATAAAATTTTACCATCATCTTAAAGTAGGTATATTTTTAAGCATATCTGCAAAAAATTAGACTTTTTATTCAAAATTTTCTAAGATATACACAAATGTACATATTTTCGCGTTTTAAAATTTGGCATCTTTTTTTTTTGAGCGATAATAATGCCAAATGTGGTTTATGGATTTTTGTTACAGTGAATTGCCACAGCTATTTTTAACCTTAAATTTCAAATAAAATTTTATGGAGAATTAATTATAGATGAATTTTTTTTCCTCAATGATGCGTAATCAATATTTATTAATACTATATGAAAAGCTATTTTTTTAAGTTATAGATGATATTATTCAAATTTTTAACTATTTTTTTATAAATTTCTCTCTTTCTTCCTTTTTTTTAAAAAAGTTTTGTAAGAGTAAATTTTTATCTTTGGCATTTTATCATCTGCTAGGTTACTTCGTTTAAATAGAATTATCTAAAACTGAGAACTTTCGTTTTATGTTTATTTGAATTTTATGAAAATATTTTATGACATTAACTGCGTAATTTATTTCTAAACAAGCTGTTGCTTATAAAGTGGCTGAAAGAGCGGCTGATATTATCATTCATATTTTTAAAGTACAGTATATTTTTATAGAAACATAAGATTTAGAATAATCCTTTTTATAAAAGTCACATTATGATATAAACACACAACTCTCTAGAGACCGAATTAATGGAAGTTCAATGGTTATGTAGAAATGATCTGCAGCTGCTTATTGGCTGGATAAGTCAGCAGGTTCTGTGGACAAGTAAGAATAATTACATAAACGACACTCAATATTCTGGATTCAATTAACAACGAGGGTACAATGTTTATTAAATGAATTTAAAAAGTTTTTAAACATAAAAAAATCACTCATTTTTTATCCTAAAATGTATTTTTATGCGTAGCATATTTTCATTATATCCTTAAAATTCTAATTTAGAATGTAATTGTCAAGAAGTGAATTCTAATCATCAGTAATTATTACGGTTATTAATAAATCCTTCTTATAAAGTAATTGCAAATATTTCAAAAAACTTTCTGTCTGAATGCAAATATTTTTCTATGCAAATATTTCTAATTTTATATTAATCAAGATTGCACATGATATTATTTATTTACACTTCAATTCTTACCGTCAGCTCTAGTAGAAATTACAAATCAATTATATTTAATTAAGGAATGACCATCTAAGTTTAGAAACATCATACCGTAACAGCAATTCAATTATTGGCGCCGTATCTTTCATGTTTACTCCTGATTGGCAAGCTACATGAATTTAATGAGTATTCGGGTTTTTCTAATAACTTAACTTGGAAATCGTGCTTAAACTAGGTTAGTTGGTTATTTGAACATAGAAAAGAACATGAGAGCTATTTGGTTAAGATGCTTTCATAGAGAACCTTTGTAAAAAGAACCTAAAAAACTACAAAAATTAAACATGCAGCCTGGGTTAGACTTCGCAACAAACAATTAGTATTTAACAATCTTTGGAATATGAGCTAAAGAAGGAACGTTCTCGGAATATTAAAGAAGTGTTTAAATCCAGTGATATTAGGTTTGTCTTACAAGCTCAGGATCAAAACGATTCTGCAATTGCCTGAATAGGTGACTTGCAAATAAATGGCTGTGAATTAAGCAGATGACTTTTAATCTTAAGTTATTCAATCAGAAAATGTGTTCCAAATGTTTTGTATTGCATGTCAATGCATTTTTTCATTATTCAATAAGCAATCGGTGAACCGCTTGTTTTCCGAAAATAAGTATGTGTACTCAACCGTCCTGCATGTTCTTCAAATTTGTCTTCTTGTGATTTTTTTTTCTTTTCCAAAAACTAAAGTTGCCTCTCAAAGGAAAGTTTTTTGACATTGAAGACAAAAGGAGTATGACATCTACTTTTAGAGGCATGTCAAAAACAGATCTCTACAAGCCTTCTCTTCCATTACATGTTGTGCTGCATCAGCGTAAATTCTATAATCTATTTTTATTACACTCTGATTACTTTATTAACATACAGTGAATATATACTAAACCTTTTACTTCAGCTTCAGTAATTCGGAATTTTTGACGGAATTGTTGTCGGAACTAGGGCTTAAAAGATAAGTCAAATTGAATATTTCGATAATCTAATAAATTAAAGGTCGAAGTTTCAATATTTTATTTTCACAGGGAGGGGAAATTTTTTTTAGTTTTGGTCCATTATCCTAAGTGTATTTGCTTTGATTCTTTATTTTTTTCCATAAAAGCGAAAATCGTACCCATGGTATACATATAACGCATAGCTTCAAATTAAAATTTAATAATATACAGGGTGATCATAATTAAAGTTCCACTTTGAAATGGTCATAATAGGAAAATTACTGGATCAAATATTATCAAACTTGGTAACCGTGTAAAGGAGATCATGGAAATTTAGTTTTCGCAAAAAAAAAAGAAAGTTCAAAACCTCACCACCAGGGGGGGTGGCGCTGTATGCGATATTGTTAAATGAAATATGGGTCAGAACCTAACTTAACCTTTTGTTACACAGGTTTAATATGCTGTATACCCTTAAGAAACTTTGAAGTAAGCAAATTACCATTTAAAGGCATTAAAATCGATAAAAGTTGAGTGCGCCATTCGTGTAAGGGAGAAATTCGTCCGCAAAAACCACGAATTAGCGATTAGAAAATGCAAAATCGCAAATCACTTGCACAAGTGCGTACAATCTGGAAATAGTTTTCTTACAGATCACTAATTTCTAATTTTTAATGCCTGAATTCGGCCCTAAAACATGAAGATACCGATTCAAAACACTTTTAATCGATTCGTGCCAAAGAAATCCCTCATTATCCACCTAGTTCCATTTCATTCTCCTACTGCATTCGATTGCATAGCAGTCATTCCACACCGTTTTGTGTGGAATAACAGCTAGTTTCATAATTGAACCATTTTTCTCTGAAGAGCAGTCAACAGCTGGATTACTGTGATTGCAGTTCGCTTCGAGTCAATGTTAAAATGTTTCGTGATACATGAACTGCAGTAACGTAGCATTTTAGATACTACGATTTTTATGCAGGGCTGGGCCCCACCTCACATGTGTCGCACAGTTACTTAGGAACATTTCCCGAATGAACGTCTTATAGGCTGACACTTATCCACTTCCCATCAGACCTCAACCTCTGTGACTTTTGGCTATGGGGTTATCTCAAAAGCTCTGTTTATGGTGATAATCTAAACAATTTGGCAGAAATGAAAAATGTGACACACCGACATGTCCATAGCATTCCTCCTGATATGCTAAGAGCTGCTGTTGAGAATGCAGTAACAGGATTTAACTTGCTTTCGGAAAATGCTGGAGGCTACATTGAACATGCTTTGTAACGTGTTTCGGAAACGATTAAACACATTTTAAACCAATGTTTTCATGTCCTATTTCATTTACAATATCGCATACAGTGCCATTTTTACCCTGGTGGTGAGTTTTTGAACTCTTTTTTTTCCGGCAGAAAATAAATTCCCATAACCTCCTTTACACAATTCCCAAGTTTGATAATATTTGGTCCGGTAATTTTCCTTTTATGACCATTTTAAAGTAGAACTTTAATTATAACCACCATGTAAATTAAACTTTAATTTGACGGTTTGGTTCAAGTCCCAGCTTTAAAATATACATATACATTAATCCTCTTAGAAAGAATGTTTTAAGAAGCTAATTTTTCTCTCGCATTATAGATTGTATAAAAAAAACATGACCTTTAATATGATTTAGATTGTTTCAGCCGATATAAGAATCGGGTTTCTCGGTGGTACAGAATAAACACTGCTGGACTGTTTTACTTCTTTGTCATTCAGCAAAAAATCTTTTAATTAAAATATTTATCCTTTGGACTTTGCTCTATACTTTTTTTATAATTAAAATGTCTAGAAAATGAAAAGCTGTCTTCAACTGAAACGCAGTTGATGCAATTGATATTTTAAAAAAATTGACAAGAATGCAAAATTTATGGAAGTCTAGCAATCGAAAAAATCTTAATATTCTTGTGTGAGCACTGAAAATAACTGTAGAAGGAAAGAAGAAAATTAGGGAGAAAAGTAAGCAAAAATTTGAAGGAAAATTTGGCTGTCAAACATACCAAGGTGTTTCAAAAAGTTGGAATGCTTTTAAATATACTTTCAGAATACTTTTAAGAATTTAGGTGTTTAAACAAAAAACACTTGGACGTGTACACCAGTAAATACCATCAATTCAGCTTGTGTTAACAGAAAAGACAAAAACGATATCGTTGCAGATTAAAGTGAAGAGCAACTGGTTTTAGACTATATGGTTCGGTTTTAGACTGGTAGTTCGGTCCAAGGTTCAAATCCCGCTACCGGGCTGGCTGCATGGCCATTTTGGTTGATTTCCCCATGTGTAATGTGTATAACGAACCAGTTTCCCATAGAAAGTCCTCCACGAAGGCATCCCTCTCCTTAGACAGATAGCTTTAGTGTGCTTTGCCATAATTAAATAAACCAAAACCTCTTGATGAAACCAGCCTTTCCTTTCGTCTAATACCTTCAAAATGCTAACCTCTAAAGATTGATAAAGGCTCTGGCTTAAATACTGATGAAATGAATTGAATTGGTTTATTAAGTTACGCAAAGCAGGACTATCTGCCTAAAAGGGAGGATGCCTTCATGAAGAACTTTCTAAGGGAAACCAGCTGGCATACACGTTACACATGAGAAAATCCACGAAAACGCCCATGCAACCAGCCCATTTACCGGAAGGCGATAACTTTATTTAAAATGATTGTCAGAAATACCAAGATGTTTCGAAAAGTTGGATGCTTTTTAATATACTTGCAGAATGCCTGAAGAAAAAGGGCAAGAATAAAGCAGAATGCCTGAAGAAAAACTGTTTAAAGCAGTGTATGCAAGTCATCTTAAGTTAAAATGTCGGTTATACATCTCTCTTATTTATATATCTTTTCTGAATAGAACACTAAAAGGCATGTTAACTGTGCTTTACTGTATTTTCTCTTTTAATATATGCAGTTTTAAATGCTTCGTAGTCTGGGTCACAAAGTGTTCTTCCGAAAGACAAATAATAATAATAAATTCCAAATAAATAACATAATAAATTCCAAATAAATAAAATCAAATTCTGGAAAATTTATATTAATAAATATATTTAAAATGCTCAGTTCGAATGAATAAATGGAAAATTTTAAAATAATTATCTGAAGAGACAATGCAACACTAACAACTAAAATAAAAGTCTAAACATTTAAAAATTACCTAAAATAGTAACTATGACTAAAAATATAGTATAAAGAAAACTATTTGAAAAAAAAATGATGCACCTTTGATTTAAACTACGCAGTTTGAATGAGTAAATAGACAATTTTAAAACAGTTATTTGAAAGAAACTATGCAATGTAAACAATTAAAATGAAATTCGAAAAAGAAAAAATTGCTTAAAATTAATAACAATTATAATTAAAAATATAATATAAAGAACATTATTTGAAAGAAGGAACGATTGAGTCTTCTCATGCACTATGTAAAAATGGAAATGAAAATAGGTTGCCACATATTAAGAAGTTCGCCAAGTGAACTAATTTTGATGCAAACTGAATAAAAAGCACCAACTTTAAATTGATGAATTTCTCCATAAATTTCACACCAAATTTTACAAAATTCAATATTTAGGCATAATTTGAGTCATAGAAACGAAATATGTAAAAAAATTGGTATGTTATTTCAGAAAAAGTCCGATTTTATGTCAAAATACCTATGTTAGAATAGTGCTATATATAAATCTAATATATATCCTAAATCACGCTTTCGAGACATGAAGAATGCAATTTGAATTTCGTGAATTGGCCCAGTAGAATGGGAGAAAGTTCCCCCCCTTTTTTGGGGGGGAGCAGTGTACATGCTCTCAGAAATACTAGTCACTTTTAGATATAGTGTATGGTATTTTTTATATTATTTTCAAGCAGACTTGACTGTTAATAAGACTATTTCTTTAAGAAAGAATGCAAATGTGAAGAAACGGTCGTTTTTTAATCAAGTAAAAGTAATACGATACATTAGAATTCAAATACAGTCAATATATAATTTTGTATTCAAAAACTATTTTAAATTCTCCTCCTTCTTGATTATTACATATAAAGCTATTAATATATGCAGAATTTCCTTTATCACACAAAATTACATCTTTATCCTGATCTTGCTTTTCATATAAAACCTTTCTAATCTGTCAAAGAGAGCATTAAAGTAAATGGTAACATTTTGTAAGAATTACCTAATTTCATCAACACGAGGAAGAGGATGCATGACAATCATTTTCTTCTTGGCATTTGTCATCAATACGGGAGTAATCACAAAATGTCCACATGCCTAAAACATAATTTATAAATCAATAATATAACATAAATGAACTGGCACATGATTACTTAAATGAAAGTTACGAATCCTAACTTACTTTTTTATATTCCTCTTCATTCTGAAACCTTTCCCTTTGAATTCTAGTCATATATAATACATCTGTTTGAGGTAAAATTTCTTCTAGGCTGGAAAACTCCTCCTAAAAGATTAAATATTAACACAATGTATGAATACCGTTTTTGATCTAAAGGTTATGCATTATATATTTATTCACATATGTATTTGTACAGAAGCCAGAAAATAATCAAAATAAATACAAAGCACAAAACTTGCTCATTTTGCTTTTATATTAATATAATCTAGAATATGTATTAAAATTAGTGAAATAATCATAGGTCTTTAACTTTTATAATAAATTTTACTTAAACCAGGAGCATCTGATCTGCATTCCATATGATATAAACAAAACAAACAAAGGGAAAAAAAAACTGAAAAGTGATGTTGGAGAAATGTTAAGAAATGGTGAAAGTAAGAAATAATTAGATGATTTTGGGTAGATATTGACTATTTTCTTAAATGAAATGGGCAATTCTCATTAAAGACTAAAAACAACTAATCAGTGATATTTCAAAGAATATAACATCATTTGAAACTAAATTGCAATTGCATCAATTTCACATTCACAGCATTAAATGAAATTATTCTGGAATTTCATCTCCACAAAGTTATGCAAACAATGAAAAAATTTTTCAGCTCAGATTGCCATTATTTGTGAATAAACTTCAGGATTTAAAAAATCATCACTTACATATTTGTTACTCCTTTCTCAACTGATAACAGAATTTACTTGCAGATTTGCAAATGAATATTCAAAGTTGAAATCAGATACACAACATAAAAAAAAAAATTTAGATGGATTTTCATACATTGCTCTTAAGAAAAATTTCAAAATTTCATGAATATTCGAATATACCTAAAATTACATGATAGGTATGACCAAGGAAAAGGGCATAAATCATGGTCTAGCTCTACATATAAATACACATGAATTTTAGTTAAATGAAAGACTAAAAAACATACTTGTTTAGACAAAAGCATATAACAAAAACTGTGGTTTTGTTATATGCCAATACAAAATACTATTAAATAAATGTGCTATGTGAATTGGAGTTATTTTTCAAGCTGATGTTATAAAGAAATTTTACAAATTTATATTTGTAAAATTTCATTATACGACATTTAGAGACTTGATGACTTTTTTTGACCACATAAAATTCTTCTTTGCAAGCTAATGATTTATTTTATCCCTTGCTTTTATGTATAATGTGTTTCTCACTTAAGTCTATGTTTTTAAAAATATGTAATCTTTTTTAAACTGAATAGAGACCTACTATTATGAATGCAATTATCATACACTCTTCTAATGGATCAGAACCAGAGGAGTTACATTCTTCAGCATTGATTTGTTCGTAAGTAGTTCTTCAGTAGTGATTTGTTCATTCTGCATCTGTATAAGCCTATAAAAATATTACGTTTTTCCTGAGCCAGATATATGAGAAAACAGTTCTGCCTTTCATCACAATCTGAACTACGGAACTTCTGATTGCTAGACATACACACTACTAATTACACTTTATAAGTATATATTGGGAAAAGTTTTAATTCCTCATAAGTTCATATATTGCTAGTTTTTATTACATGAGCCCTTGCTGACATCATCACTCAGATGGACATGCTACTAGTCACACTTAATAAGTACATGCAGGGAAAGGTGATAATGCCTTATAAGGTCACAAATTGCTATACAAGTCCTAGATGGCATCATTGCTATAAGCATCCAATTCTAACTGCTCGCCAAGTTTGACAATTTCTTCTAGTGTTACATGAGTAACTTGATAAGTTCTGGCAATGTTTTCATCTCGCTTTTGAAAAAGAGTAGAGGCAATGTTTTCATCTCGTTTTTAAAAAAGAGTAGATAGATTTTTTTCCAAATATCATTCAAAGATTTTTTCTTTCTTTCCAAGATTCTCCACTGATTCTTGGTGGGGGAGGGGGAATGCAAAGGGGAAAATAAGGAGCTGCTAACTTTATGTTTTCCTAATACCTGCTAGCATAAGTCAGTGTATTACAGCATTCCCCATCTATAATACCATTTTTTAAGAGCATGCATATTAGTATGAAACCTTCTTCTGTATAAAATACACAAAAAAAAAAAAGAAAAAATGTCATACAAACATTGTTAATATACACTTTACATTCATTACTATATCTATCAAAATAGACACATACGTACTGATATTCAAATATTCAGACACAATATTCACATTAAAAATATATTTATTTCTAATGCATGTAGTCTCAAATAAAACATAAAAATAATTTTATCAGTTGAAATAAGAACAGCAAAAGTTTTATTGTGGTCATTAATAAATAGTTAATTCTATAATACAGACCTCGAGACATCTTTATTGGGCTATGAGGCTCAGAAGCTGAAAAATTATAGGTGTATATCTCGAAAGGAGATTGTTGTTCAAGATTAATACATTATAATTTGTGGCCTTGATCATAAATATTTATGTATTATTCTCAGTACACTAGCATGCAAGTTAATTATTTCCAACACAGTATTCTCAAATTAGAATAAGCTCATCTGGCACATTCTAAGTAGCTGCAAAAATCTACATTCTAAGTAGCTGCAAAAAATAAGAAGCCTCATTCATTAAAACAAAAACAGAAATTTGATTGAACACAGTACCATGCTGTGCTAACATTTTCAGTAAGCATTTAATTCAAGACAATATATCTAAAGATTTAAGTGCAGACGTAGTATTTTTCTGAACTATTACTCAGAATTAAATGCAAAACTTATATCACCCTACTGTATTCATGCAAAATAAATTTTATTTAATGATATCTCAAAAGCAAACACTTTCCTCTGTGGCGTGGGAGGGAAAAAAATCTTTTCCATTTACTATACAAAAACTCAGATTTATAACACATGTATTTAATATTTCAATATACACTTTGCTGGAAAAAAAATGCACCCAGAAAAAATTGAGCCACAATTATGAAAATCGTAACAGTATAAAGTATACATTTGAGTAGATACATAAATGATCAAAAACTGGGGCGAAAAAAAGCATTTAGTTTACGAATAGCAGTACAAAGAATGTGAAAATCAGTAGGTGGTAAAGTCACCCTGACAGCTATACAAGCTGATATCCAGCTGGGCATGGAGTCTATTAAGTTGCCAACATCTCTCTGTGGTAGCTTGTGCCACTAATGTACATGGCTGAATTTGCCTGTCCAATATGTCACAAACATGTTCGATAGGTGACAGTTCTGGAGACCTGACAGGCAAGTTAACGACATTAACATGCTGAAGGCATTGTTGGAAAAGTCGTGCTATACGTAGCTGAACATTATCCTGCTGGAAAACAGAACCTGGACAACCTGCTAGCATAGGTAATATAATTGGCTGCAAAATGTCATCAATTTATCTGTGAGCAGTCAAAACTACTTTGCGCCATAACTAATGTCTCAGCTTTTGCTCCCCAGACTGTCTCATCCTGTGTTCTGGCTGTATGCCGCTAGGTAACAAATGGTACATTGGACTGCTTGCCTCTCAGGCACGTAAGCAGTAATCAACAGCATTGAGAGAAAAGCGTGATTTGTCGCTGAAGATCCCATTTCATCAATCGGACACTGTCAAGTCTCAGTGAGAGCAATCATACAAGACAACACTGCTTATAGTGGAGTGTAAATAGCAAGCATTTTAATAGATTAAGGGATTTGAGCTTAGCATCACCTACTCTTCTGAAAATCCTATTCCTGGATATCCCAAGATCCCTGCAAGTTGCCAAATTGCGTTGAATCGATGATAGCCTAACTGTTTGTGTGGATGCAGCAGCTCTTCTAATTGCACAATCATCTTGTGTATTGGTGGCCGGGAATGTCCTGAACCACTATGGTGGCTGGCTATGCTTTTGTCAAGCCACCCCTTTCAACAATGGACAATGACCATATCATTTCAACCACTATGCTGGCTGATCTGCCTGTTCAACCAACCAGCCTCTTTTAACCCTATGATGTGACACTTCTCAAGTCTGACAACTGTTCATAATGTGGTTAAGTAGTCTTAAAGGCATCTTTAATTACAATGTCATGTATCGAAGCCATCAGCATGGCTGCAAATGCTCATCACTTACTGCACCTGCCTTTTTATATTTTACCAGCTGCGCACTTCAGACGTGCATAGTATCTGGTATCGGTGCAACAAGTTTAATTGTTTAAGAACTCACCAAACCACATTTGTATGTTTCGTAGTCGTGGCTCAGTTTTTTTAGGCAGGCTTTTTTTTTTTTTTTTTTTTTTTTTTTTTTTTTTTTTAACATACAGACCTTTTTTTTTTTCAAGCTTTGAAGCTGATATTTTTTTTACTTTTTCTAAAATGTTTCCAGGTATACTATGCCAATTTTTCATATTTCTAATGTTAATTATTTAAATAAATAATCGCAGATATAACCTAAAACAGCCAACTGGGATCATTTTGACCCTCATAAGAAAAACAACATATTTTTAAGCGAATGTTCGTTTTCGAATTCCCGATGCCACGTTTTCATTTTCTGCGCATTGGGAAACACGCAACTCTTACTGCGATGACTCAGGGGAGAAAAATAAAATCCAGAACGGAGCATATTCTCTCTCCATTGCAATGCCGAGAGAAAGAGGATTGAGTATACAAGAGTGCCTTGCCCTCCTTGAACAGATGATTTGTGGAACAGGAATTGGGGACCACCTGTATTCAAAGAAACAATGTCATGCAATAATGTGAAATAATGCGGTATCTCATTCGATGTCCGAAGCACCAGAGCTGATCGTCTCGCCACTAACAAATTTGCTCTCGCTTCTGAAACCTGGTAACAGCTAATGGAAAACTGTTATTTATGCTATAATCCTGGACCAGAAATAACCGTTAATAAACAATTGTTGCCTTGTAAATCAATATGTAGATTTATCCAGTACATGGCGAATAAACCGGACAAGTTTGGCATCAAATTCTGGCTAGCAACTGATGTAAAATCCAAATATGTTTTGAATGGATTATCCTTATCTGGGCAAGGATGAAGAACGACCAACTAATTTACAACTTGGGGAAAGTGTAGTTCTCAAATTACTGTGCAACCACATCTAAAACTCCGGACTCAATGTCACAACTGACAATTTTTTTTACTTCTGTGAAACTTGCAGATGAACTTTCTGCGAAAAAACCACAATTGTCGGGACGATGCGTCTGAATAAAGCGAGAATTACCCCCTATTGCTAGTGACACTTTTTCAGCACGATATTAAATCTTTTGCACTGAAAAAATGGAGACAAAACACTCACAATATATAGGTGCAAGAGCAAAAAGAATGTTGTGATTCTGAGCACAATGCACAGTAATGTGTTTGTTGACGACAGCATAAAGAAGAAACCGAACACTGTCACTTACTACAACAGTACAGAATGTGGCGTTGATGTCGCAGATCAGATGCTGAAGAAATATAGTACAAGTGGTGGAAGTCGCAGGTGGTCTGTACATGTTTTTTACAACGTCCTTGACATTGCTGCACTCAATGCTTGGATTATATTCAAAGAATCCTTGGGCACCTCTATTTCCCGTCGAGAATTTATTTTTGCACTCATGGAAGAACTACAAGTTGGTGCACTATGCAACAGATGCCCCCCCCCCCGATTGCTCAAATACAGACACTTAAACGAAAGAAATGTGCATTTCAAAGTTGCAAGGGACAAAACAAGACTGTCGTCAGCTGTGAGGGATGCCAGAAACCAATTTGTGGTAAATGTGTTGCTGTCACTGTCAAGCGTTCATATTACATCACCTGCGGTTATGTACAGTCAAAAGTCGTTAATTTGGACACCCATAATCCGGAATGATCTATAATCCGGACCTCAAAGCTAAAAATTTTCTGCGCATGTGCCGTGTTGACACATGCGCATAGGCGTTTACACGTGCGCGTAAGACCTTTTACCACTGCGCATATGCGTGTGCGCAAGTGCAGAATACGTTTTCGCGTGCGCGTTTTATGTATAATCTAAAATTATCTATTTCAGTTAATGTTGATGATTGCGTTGTTCCTTAATCTTCGAATTGGATCGGGCTTATTATTTTTTGCAGACTGTAAGAGCAATTTTATAAAAGTAAACTTGAACTTTCGATTATGTAAATAGAATTCTGATCTTGGAGCTCCCAAAGGATCGTACAAACGAAAGTATGTTTCGATGTCCATCAACAAAAAGTGGAATGCTGCAAAAAATGGATAAAGACATGAAGAATGTGACAGAGAGGTTAGTGTGAAAACGAAAAAAATTTCGATTGACAAGTTAGTCGGTATTCTCGGCACAGCAATTAACGGGACTTCAACAGCGGAAACTTTGTAACTGAACAAGAAATTATGTCTGTTTATAGAATTAAAGAGAAAGTATTATCACATAAACGAAGCAACTTAAACAACTTACATTGAAAGAAATGTTTAATAAAGTAAACAAATAAATATTAAGCTTTTTTTTTTTTTTTTTTTTTTTTTGTAAATTTTGATACCTTTTAGATCATAATTGTTCTTTATTTCATAAATTACGGTTTCATATTTTTAATTTTATAATTTCTGCATGCCATCTTACGAGACTTAAACTGATGATCTATAATTCGGAAAAATCGATAATCCGGAATCACCGAAGTCCCAACGAGTCCGGATTAACGACTTTTGACTGTATAACGAACTTTGGAAAACATTGTGTGTTTATTCCCAATTTATGTTTTTTTGTAATTTTTTGCATATGTTCTACTTTCCACTTTTTGCATTTGTATCTTTTGTCTGTTTTTCATAGATTTTGTTTCTGTTTTTGTAATCTTACATTGAAAGATATTGTGTGCTAATTTGCACTAATTGCACGAAAAAAATTCTAAAGGCATAAAAAATAAATAAAAACCTCTAAAAACTCTTTTATGTGGTCATTTCAGCATCATTTCAATCATTTACTGTGTTTCTACTTACATTTCTTATGAGGGTCAAATTGACCCCCAATGGCGGTTTTAGGTTAGTCTGAAATTCGGCTGTTCTAGTGTTAAAAAAATCAACCAGCCCCATTTTTCTGAAAATTCAAATTATACAACTCATACATTTAAAATTATGAAATTTAAAAACTACATAGGTGGATCCAAAAAAAAAAGGGTTACAAGCATCAATATTTGAAAAGCAATTACTGTGGAAGGAATACTTTTCCTCCAAAGTGCAGACAGATAGCATTAGTTCTGTAGCAGTAGTTGTGGGGTTAGGTAGAGTAAGTTTGCAGGCACGTCAGAGCAACTAAAATGGCAAGACATTCAGAAAAGTGGTTTCTCTTGGAGCTGCGAAACATGATTCGTTATCCTGATCAATTATCTGGATCATGGCTATACCATTACTGCCAATCGTAACTGAGCCGCACTAACAAGGTTATGTGAAGCCATCTGATGCAAGTGCCATGGCATGTTGAGTGACGGTGCATGACAATACCCAGCACCTGCAGCTTGCCAAACTCAAAGATTGTTGCAAAAGTTTCAGTGGGAAGTCCGGAGTCCCCCGACAAACCCCAGATTTTGCACCCAATGACTATTTCATTTTAACGAAATTGAAGGAACATTTATCTGGAATGAGGTTCTCTTCAGATAGTGATGTGAAAACAGCCACCAAGAATTGGCTCAATTGTCAAGGACGTGGTTTCTCAGAAGCTGAGTTAAACAAGTTGGTCCCGCATTCAGGAAAATGCCAAAATAGAATTGGTGATTATGCATAAAACTGACAGGCAAATATGCCTCTTAATTCCATTTTGTAGTAGTTAATAAGTATTTTTTACTACCCTTGTAATCTTTTTTTTAAATTTTGATCCACCCTCTTATATTAAATACAGTAATCTCTATGTTTACAATGTTCATATATACTGCATAATCTGTATTATCATGTTCTTAAAAGAAAAAAATTTTAAATATAAAATCTCCTTACCTGAGGAGTTGTCTTAGACATCACATAATTGATCACAGAGTCTGGCATTTTTAGTTGCAGAGGAGACACATAACACAATCGAACAGCATAATTTGTTAAAAGGCAAGCTAAAGAATGTGCTGTGCGACCATGTTTAAGGTCTCCAACAAATGTTATCTATGAGAGAAAAACAAAAAATCGAAATCAGAACAGACATCACTACAAAGTAATAATTCATAAAGATATAATGAAATATGAGACCTATTTACTTTAGATATAATGAAAAATTATCAAGCATGAAAGTCTCAGAAAATCACATGTGTTTCATGAAGGAAAGGGGAGAAATTTTATAATAAATTTTTCTTTGATTATAGTCATTTAAAATAGATTTCTAATAAACTACATTCTACTGTTTGTAATATTGTTAGAAGTCTATGCATAAACACACAATGCAAAATAAAATTAAAAATAAGTTTAAAATTCATCACATATTCAATTTCAGAATAAATCATGTTGAAAGCAAACAGAAGCATGATGGAAAACTAACTACAAGAAATAGGCAAAATATGTAAAAAGCAAAAATGAAATAAGAAATATGAAATTTATATCTATCACTGCATGGTCATCAGAGAGTTGGTGCAACGAAATAAATTAAAAAATAAAACAGCCAGTTTCAACACTAAAAATGACACAAATTAAAATTTAAAAATAGTACCAAAAAACACTAAAAGTAAAATTCAAAATGACTACAAAATAAAAGATATACTTTAAAAATTATTTTCAATAGATCAAGTCCAAAAACAAAGCTTTAAAAAATAATAATACGATACTTGAAAACAAATACTTTAATCCAATATCTGAAAAAAAAAAAACTATATGCAAACTGTGAAAAATACAGACCAGGTTGAAAAATAGTATAAATCATAAACAAACAATAAAACTTAAAACAAAAATTTGCAGTTTTAATGGACTGAATCCCAAAACAGGTAAACCTGAAGTAATGTTAATATATGAAAAAAATAATAATAAATGAAAAAAGTGAAAATTTGATAACTATGAATATCATTTGATCACTGTATGTTTTCAGTGTGAAGTTTGCCATTGCAGTATTGCCTTTTTCAAAAGGAACAGAAGCGCAATGGGTGAGACTGCATGTGATTTATTCCGAATTGAATATATGTGATGAATTTTAAATGTATTTTTTTTTTTTTTTACATTTTTTGCATTATTATCCACACTTTAACTTATTGCTGCTATCATCACATAATTGAACTACGTTTTGAATTGCTTTTTACTTTATATTTATTCATTTATGTATGTATATATATATATATATAATTACAAAACAATTTTTTAAAAAACAAAATATAAATATGCCTAGTATTTTCCTGCCTTAAGCTGCAGAAAATTATCATTAAAGACAAAGTAAGAAATTTAGAACTAATGTTTCACAAAGACAAAAATTTTGAAATTCATACCCCAATCCAAAAACAATTCTTAAAGAAATTAAAAGAAAAAAGAACATAACAGAAGAGTAATTCAATCAACTTCAATTTTTTTCACTAAAGTATTTTTTTCAATTTTTTTCAACTTTCAATTTTTTTCATTGAAGTATTTTAATTATTCACTTTTGGTTTCATTTCTTTTAACAAAACAGAGATCTCTTTATTTAAAATACAAGTTCTAATTGAATTTTTTTCCCTTGCTTTGGGGAAGGGCCAGAATTTTCAGGTGAATTATTATAATTAAAATACATTGAAATAGTTCCTCAGCTAATTCTGGATACAGAAAAGCAAGGATTTTTGTAGAAGAGAGATTTCAATGTTCCTTTTCCCTGATGAAGTAGCATTGAAGTTGATTGAATTACTCTTCTGTTATGCTTTTTTTTCCTTTAATTTCTTTAAGGAATTTTATTGGATTGGGGTATTGATTGCATAAAAGCTTTGGTTTTTACATTTATTAAATTCTTTGTTGCATTTATTAGATTATTTGAAATTTATTAATTATGAATTTCAAATTTTTCATCTTTGTGAAACATTAGTTCTAGATTTCTTACTTTGTCTTTATATATATATATATTGCATAAGTAAATAAGGGAGGGAGAAGTTATTCCTTACAAAATAACCACACGTATAATCATGCTTTGAAACTACATTTTTACAAATATATTACTTTAACTACTTTACATTTTGAAATTCACCAATTTTTAAATGCAGAAGTAATTGAGAATGCTTATATATGAAGTACAATGAATAACATACAACTTTTCCTGGCAAGGGGAAAATATGGTTATTTTTTACCAGTTGGCAATTTTACAACAAACAAATTTTCTCACTATAAGAATTCTTTGTCATTTCTCCATGCAGCATTTGTTAACTCCTCCTAAAAATAATTCTGACTTATATCAAATTAATGCAATTCATGATTCTGAATTTACACATATGTGTAGCATAAATGCAGTTTTTGACATAAGTCTCTTTCAGAAAAGAAGCCAGTTTATACAAATTAAATTATACAAAGCTAATTTATACAGTTTGTACAAATTAAATTTTAATTTGAAATCATTGCATTTATGGAATGAAAATTTCAGTTGTAAAATAGCACTATCATCAACAGAATACATTTTCACAATTTTTCATGTGTTGTAACAAAGCAGTTACAATAGAATATCAATTATCTGAACCACTGTAGCATCAAAAATCAACAGTTTTCAGTAACAAAATAATTATAATCTTCAGTCCAAAACAGTTTAAATCTTCAATTATCTTTCGGCACTTAGACGAAATTTGATGCATTTATAAAAGTATACTTCATTGGGAACCCTTTTCAATTGATAAACCCACTCATTCTATGGACAGGTTTTGTTTTAATTGATTTTGACATTAGGGCTATCTGACTAAGGGAAAAGATGGCTTCGTGGAGGACTTTCTAAGGGAACTAGATTGTATACACATTATACATGAGGAAAACCGTAAAAATGCCAATGCAGCCACCTTATTCACCTGGAATCAAATCCAGGTTTGACCTACCAGTGTTCAGCGGTTTTACAACTCGGCCGCTGGTTTGCCCCAATCTTTGGATGCAGCATTTTAAAATGATGATGCGGGCTTCCTCCAACAAATGGATTAAAGCATTCTAGAAACAATGATAAAACATATTTAAAAATATTTGTATGACCTTCTACAACTAAAGGAGGTTGAAGAGAACATTAATGAAACTTTTTTTAAAAAATTCAATTTTAAGGAATTTTGCATATATATGTTAATAGACACCTAGAGCACGCTGGCAGGAAAAAGTCTCAAATAATGTGGCATAAAAGCTGAAGTGATGCCAAAAAGACAATCATGCATGAGCAACATATGTTTTAATGAAAAGATAACCTTAACATGAAAATATAACCTTATTTTTAGAAATTCATAAATTTTCCAAGTGTTGGTATAAGGCATGGCTAAAAAAAGGTATTCTTACACATGGTTAGCAGATTTTAAATAAAGAAGAAATTACTGCATTAGCCTAGGCTGAAGGACATGTTATTGCTAACCAAGATGATTTTGAATGTGAAGAAGTGGAAAGCGTACTTGTTCAAGTGATTGATTTTATTGGAAACTGTAACCAATGGCGTAAATGATAGCAATTATGTGGAGATATTGCTTCTAAAAAAAAGGGCGGCAAATCTTGCCATAAAGAATGCACTGTTTTCTACTTTAACATTAGTCTTAACTATGGTGTGCAATTATGCCTTTTTTATATATATTTACATAAAAGAAAATTTTACATCTGAAATTGTGTATAAAAAAGAAATAAACTACGATATGCATGAACTTAAGACTAAAACTACATTTAAATATAAGGGGTTTCCAGGCGAACCATCTGCTTCATCAGATGGGATGAATTTATGTTTAAAGTACAGTTTAAGCATGTCAATTTAAAACATTTTATTTCATTTTAAACTACTTTCTAACCCCATGTGTCTTTTAATCCTTAAACCTATATGCATGTACAAAGTACATGCTATCATTTAAAACCAGTTCATTAAAATTCACACACAGTTTCAAAAATCAAATACTATTTCAGGTAATGTAAGATTTCAAAGCACAGCATCAATATTGTCCCATAGAATATCTAGGCTTAACTGTAATTAAAATTTTTACTATACTCAGAATAAAGTCTGCTTAGTATTAACTAGTTTATTATTAATCAAGTTAAGTAACAATTTGTAACTATAATGAAGCCTTGATTTACATATTAGTACATTCATGTGGGTTTAATCACCCAGATTATTTAAATAACTGAATCACCTAGCTCTTAATAAGTCTGGATGGTCAACAATCATTTTACTATATTTCAATATGTGTTTTTCATATACACATATGATGCTCATCAAGGATGAAAAATACGACTTACTAAACTACTAAAGCTACTTTTGTCTTCAATATTTCCTTTTTCTGATAACAGTTCATTTGGGATTCTGAAACAATTTTACACTTGATTTGCACTTACAAATTCACATTTACTTTTCTTTTGATATATGTAGCTAATATTTTTTATTCAATATTTCCATTTCTATTCAATTGTTAGCTAATATTTTCTACTCAATATTCCATGCATCTTAAGCAAAAACATTTCAACAGTTATACTAAAAATACCCAAATTATCCAAATTTTATAAAGAATGAATGATTACTATTACCCTCTGGTTGGTTCTCTTTCCATTTACATACACACTCACAACTTGTATACTTGGTTCTATTCCTTATATAAATGTATTTCTCATCATTAATGCACAAGAAGACAAAAGCAACACATATCTTCAATTGCTGACACAAGAAAATGGTTACATATGCAATATAATTTTTTAAAGCTAGATTATAGAACAGGGGTAGCCACAGTGTGGTCCTTGCAAATGAGTGGTGAGGCTCTGATGCAAATAAAATATATGTATGAAATATGGTAAATTAAAAGTACTCAACATCCAAAAGAAATTAATTATTTATTTCATTTCTTTTTACAAAGTTATCAGACTTTCTTTCCATTTGTTTCACTACTTTTAAAATAATGTAAATATGGTCATGTGGCTTTTGGAAAACTAGTTGCAGCTAGTTTAACTAGAAACTCTCCTGAATTCGAACATGCTGCTCATACTGAAATAAAGCTTGGCCACCCTTGTTATAGGATAATGAAAACCACATGAAGCAGATGGCATTTAAATGAATCGATATTAAATTGCAGTGAATATTTAATGGCATTATTAAAGAATCAATTCAGTATCACATATGAAAGTGATATTAAATTAATTTTCCACAAGTTCAAAATGTTTTAATTCAGAACACTTACAAGCATGGATGAATTTTCAAGTCAGGAAAAAATGAAGAGAGTTATATAATAGTTATGCCCATTCAGAAAAACTGGAAAAGATTTAAAGAGAACACATTCCTCCATCCCATACTTATTGAATCTCTTCAAAAATTGGGTGTTGTACTACCTCCCATAGACTTTGATTGGAACATAAAGAACTGTGACATAAATTTTATAAATTTATAATTTTATAAATTTTATATTTATAATTATATTTATAATTTTATAAATTTTATAACATAAGTACCCCCTGATTGCCATCCTGTTATTCAAAACAAAGATAATTTTTTGGTTAAAATTAATTGAAATTCTAGAGATTCTGAAAAAAAAATTAGTACAAGATGCCAATAAAGCTTACTGCATCTCACCTTCATATATCTGGAGATTCATTAAAGCAATATAAAATAAAATTATGTGTATAGGAAATTTGACAAGACCAAACTTCTTGTTCATTATTTCTGAGAATTTGACCATAATATTTAATTAAAATTTGAGAATAATACTTTTGCTTACTGTTAAGTTATTGACAGAGCCTAATTCTTCTCTGATGGTGAAAACATCAAGGAGAGCTTGAGTAGGATGTTCACCTGTTCCATCTCCTGCATTTATTACAGGTTTAGAAGAGACAGTAGCAGCTCGCTAAGGTAAACATAGCACAGTACATTAAAACATTTATCTTTCCATACATACTATTATACCTAAATAGAAAATTATGCTATAAACTTTAATGTGAAGCATGAAATGGTCAGTCTAACATTAGAATTCACACAACTAAATTTTCTAGAATTAGTTACATAAATATGAAAATCATAATAATAAACACATATAAAACAAAGTTCCAAGAGACGCATGCCGATTGGAACTTTTTGTAATATTTAATTTTAGTGACTTAATTTAAAGAAGTATTTTGTCCATTTTAAGATGGAAAAATACTTTGAGCAGAAATATTTTTGGATCATTGAAGAAAACCTAAGTTTGAAATTCACTATATTTTAAACATATTCAACTTCCATACCTTGGCAGCTCCATGTTCTGGGTGCCTCAACACAACTACATCGCTGTAACTTGATAAGACTGCAATAGTATCTAAACATATAAATGAAACTGTTACAATAAACAGTAATGCAAGTATCTTTCTGAATGATATTCTAAAAATTATTTTGGGGGAAAATGTACAGAAATGACTCAACTACTCAGAGACATGAATTCCCCTTCCCCCCCCAAAAAAAATTACTTTCCTAAGTTGCTAAGCATAAGTATTACTTTTTTAAAAAAAACGCTTATGATTAACATCATTTCATACTTATTTCATCATTAACAATTGACAAAATTAAGAAGTCTTCTTTCTTATAAACCAAGTAGATTTTTCCTGAAGAGTGAAGCTACTGAAAGTGGGTTTAACTCTCTCATTTGAAGCAGATACCAAAGAAAGACTGAATTCTGAAAATTATTAATATCAATCCCAAATCAAAATTTATGACTACAGGCTCAATTTATAACAATGTTTGTCATAAATATTAAGTACATGTAAAATACATTCACATGAACATTTCAAATTGGCTGAAACTTTCAAATGTAAAATGTGTATAGATTCTAGAACGTTTAAAAATTTTATTAAGAATTTTTCAATACTTTAAAGTAGATAACATTTAACAAAATAAAATATAAATTACCTTCTAGTGATTCGCCTTTCTTTACAGAAGAAAAGGTCTCATTAACATCTATGATACTACCACCAAGTCTTTCCATAGCAGCAGCAAATGAAACTCGAGTTCGAGTGCTTACTTCATAGAAAACATTAACCATCACTTTGCCCTTTACAGAGAAATAATAATTATGCATTCTCAAAAATTATACATACAGTGCTACCTCAGGATACGTCCAACTTGGTATATGTCCTGTTTGCACCCAAATATTTTTTTTTTTTTTTGGAATATGACTCAAGTTTGATAAATCACATCTACATGCACTGCACTTGTTCCCCTCTTTAGAGACAATGCTACAACTATCCATGAGTGTTAGTATGTATGCCTGTTGCTATTATTCAGTAAACAACTTGTGCTATAACTCTGAACTTTTAAGTGATACTACGTTTTTTTCATGTATTGCAAGTACAAATAAGTCTTCATCATTTGACAAAAAATGGTGCCACTTGTAAGTTAGGGTTAAATTGTCTGATGTAAAAAAACAACATATTGTAAGGTTCGACATCTGCTAACAACATAACCTTGATATATTTTATATCAGCATTACATATTTTTTGTCCGTGTGAAAATGTCGAGTTTTGAGCCAAATGAACGTCACTTATGGGAACTTTTGATTTATGTATTTAATTTGAAGAAATCTGCAGCTCAGCCACATTGATTGCTTGTAGAAGCATATTTGGAGGCTGCCTTAAGTGAAAGAAGTGGTTTCAAAAGTTTAAGAACAGTGAATTTGATGTCAAAGAACATAGTGGAAGGAAGAAAGTGTATGAAGACATGGAATTGGAAGTATTATTGGATGAAGATGGGAGCGAAACACAAGTAGAACCTGCAGTTACATTAGGAGAGACTCAACAAGCAGTTTCAGATTGTTTAAAGTCGTCAGAATGATTCAAAAGCCCAAGAAATTGAGTTCCATACAAACTGAAGCGTAGAACCGTTGATTGCCGATTTTTTACTCGTGAAATTCTACGCCAGACTTCCTTTTGGGGCATGGGTACACCTAAAAATTTCCTTCTGTATGCACAGAAAAACTGAATAAAAAAGGCTTTGAAGGTTACTATAGGTTACTCTGAACCTTCTTTATTTATAGTAGATGGCAGCCCAATGCAAACCAGTCCATATATTTTAGCCATGTTTAGTTTTTTAAGACCCTCATTTTTCAAAGAAATCTTCTAGATATTTTAGGGTATAAACGGAATTGTTTGAAAGGAAATTTTTATGTTTTTTTCTTTTTTTTTTTTTTTTCCCTGTATGACTAATCTCCTTATTCTATATTGAGTTTTAAATTTTTACCTTGAAATCTTGTCTAAAATCGAACGGTGAACCGAGGATGTGCCCAGGACTGGGCTCACTGTGAGTCTAGGTCACTGAGAGGCAGCTGTATCTTTGTTTCTCTGCAGCTCATCGGTCAGCTCATTAACATAGAAAGGTGGATCCACATCTATATTTTATTTCCCGTTTTTCTCTTTCTTCTTTTCTTTTTTTTTTTTGGGGGGGGGGGGAATTTGGTTATCAACTAAGAAATTGTTGACGTGATTTTCTGAAGGTCAGGGATAATTTTATCAGTTAGCTGTTTGATTTTTCACTAGAACAGTTCTCTTTTTCTCTTTCACTTTGGTTCAAAGAAGTTTTCTTAGCGCTACATTTAACAGTTTTGAGTTGTAGACATTAGTATTTTTATTTTATAGCTTATAATTTCAAATTGTAGATATAATATCAGTTTATTTTTTATTTATTTATTTATTTATTTATTTATTTATTTTGGATTTTTAATTATTTTCCAAATAGATCGGAGGACTGACCATTTCTAAAGCACTGAAAGTGCTACACGAATTGCTTTCAGATAGTGAATCTGATACGGATCCCAGCACATGTGCAAAACATGCAATATTGGGTTGTGCATTTTTAAAGGTGGTGTCACTTTCTTCGAAAAGTACCACGATGAAAAAATAGACTAAATTGTAAATATGAAATGTAAATAATGTAAATATCATATACCCAAGTTACTTTTTTTTCCATTAATAAGCATGCAATCATCATATAACCAAAAATGAGGTTTTTAAAGGGGTGTAGAGTAGCAGATCTTCCCATGGCACACCTTGGGTAATGCTAAATCTGCTATGGTATTCAGAATACATTGTTTTTTAATCATAGGCAAAATCTCTTATTCTTTTACGCGCTTCCCAGCAATGATTGTTTCAGCACTCTTTTTTGAAGCTCTATTCAATCAGTGTGCCCGCTTCGGGCACATCCCCAGAATTAAAACGATAAGTGCTAGCTTTACAAAATTTTAATTGTGTACTCTTCTAGGCCTAATTAAGCTGCCTAATTTTCTTATCAAAATTCTAACTTTAAAAGGTAGCGTACCGGAAAGGGTTAAACAAAAGGGTTTCTTGCATTGTATAGTATCACTGGTGATGAAAAACTGATTCATTATGATAATCCAAAGAAGAAGAAATCACGGGGACCACCTGTACGTACTTCAACGTTGAAAGCTAAAATGAATGTTCATGGAAAAGAAATAATCTTGTGTATATGGCGGGATACTTGGTGTCATGTATTATGAGTTGCTCAAACTAAATGAGACTATTACTGGGGCCCACTACCAAACACAACTTATGAGACCGAGCCGAGCCTTCAAAGAAAACCACACCCACGCCTACTCCAGACATGACAAAATTATGCTCCTGCATGATAACGCTCATCCACATACTGTGGCCCAGTCAAAACATCTTCCATTGGTGAACTGCATTTTCTAGAGGCATTTCACATTCAAAAAAATCTTTCTGTTCTAGTTAATGACCCTAATTCCAATCCATCTTTGCCTTCAGCCTTTAAAGAAATTATACTTTAGTTATGGTTTCATCAACAGATGGCCCCAATGGCTTGTATCTTGTCCAGGTTTTCTTATCTTATCTAATCATTATATCTTATCTCGTTCATTTGAGTTTTTGCAGCTGAGGATGCTGGTTCGGTAAAACCATCGAAACTAGTCCTGTGAAAATTTGAAAATAAAACGCTGATTTTTGTTGTTTGACTTCTAAATTAATACTACTTAGAAAACTCAACTTATTTGTACTCAAAGTGAACAAACAACCAAAGACTTATTTGTACTCCTCATATTTTTTTCACTTTGTTTTGTGTAAATTCATTACCATTTGAGTTTTAAGAATGTTAATAAGAAACATCAAACAATTAAGAAAACTGTTAGAATTATTATAGAAGTGAAAGAAAGAGATGTTTGAAAACTATGAAGATGGCATGCATATCCAGGGTCTCGTTATTGAAAACTGTAAGTCGAGTACAGTGGTGTCTATGGTTGTGAAAACCTAAGATGCTATTCAATCAGCTAACAGTGCAAAGAGGGTGAAATAGGTTACCATATAGAGACATTAGAGCAAACTGAAAAATTGTTTTTGATCCTGATAGCAGAAAAATATCTATGTATAGTATCATATGCAGTAACAGGGTTTGGGTTAGTTGATTATGGCAAAACATACTTGAGCCATCTGCCTATGTGGAAGAATGCCTTTATGGTAGACTTTGTAAGGCAAACTGGCTCTCATACACATTACACATGTAGAAAATCATAAAAACACACAAGCAGACAAACAATTTGCCTGGAATCAAACCCAGGTCAGAACTACCAGCATTCGGTGATTTTACTACTCGGTCGTTGGTGGGCTATGTATAATAATAACAAAATGAACTTTTATTATAAGAATGGATGAATTATTTTCCTTTTATTTCTTATAAGAAAACTTTATTTGATATACATCCAAGGATCTGGAATGGATTAATGATGTATGCTGAGGTACCACTGTACAGTCATACAAATTCCTAAATGCAGATAGATGTAATTCATATAATCTTTCACAATTTAATGAACTCAGTTTACACAATGGATATAATAAACAGCGAGTGTGACTACTATGAATGAATCACAAAATTATGTTTAAAATAAAAGAAGTAAAATATAAGCATAGTAAATCAAGCCAAAATTATTAATGAGAAACAGAGAAATGCAGATTTTCTGATGATTTAATAAAATAAACAGAGATTTTATAATTACATAAAACATTAATTTTGTGCATTTCACAGTACTGCAAAGAATATGATACCAAGCAGATAAAAAAGCGAGATTTTATTTAAGGTGCATAATAGTATAATGTACAGTGAAGTGCACTTAAATTAGTAGCAGTTATGTAAGTTTAAAACTAACTCTTTGTAAATCGTATGCCATTGTTGCAAGGCAAAGCATTTCAGAATCCTTATATTTTAAAAAAATTAATAAGTAATGTTTACATTAAAAAAGAAAGAAATAAAAAAAATTGCAAAGTTTAAGATTTTAAGAGTTATTTTTCTATTCAAATGATCAACATTTTAATGAAATAAAATTATGATGTTAATGAGATTAATTTCATAACAAATGCCAAACATTTTTATCATTAGTCATTAATTAGTCCACAGACAATAATATTTTATACAAATATTGGATAATATTTGTACAAAATATTATTATTCCAATCAATCAGTCTACAGCACTAAATAAGATAATAAGCTACCATTTAATATCAACAATTACAAAACATACTCTCAGAATTATTCAGTTCAAATCCAAATGGTTTCATAAAACATAAAAGAAAAAAAATTGAAATATGCACATACTTTCATGATGTCCAAAGGACCTTTTTTCACTAAGGTTTTGAAATTTTTTGCCACTTCAAAAAGCCTGTGCAACTATAAAATTTTACATATATTAGTTTGAAAATGTAAAGCTTTTTCACAATAAAAGCGCAAATACAAAAATTAAAACATTTTAGCATGACATGTAGCCATAATTAATGCACAGATTTTATATATGAATTTTGTTTTATGAATTTATTGCTAATTTCAACATGAATATAATATTAGAATCCCAAAATCACATTTCTGATTGTAATCATAATCCATTATCTGTAACATTTAATTTTATTGACCATAATAATTATGCTCACAGAAATACCAGTCCTTTAAGAAGTAATCATTAAGGAATGTTTTGCTGTATTCTTTATAAATATATATGGGCAGAAATATATATGTAGAATAATTTATGTATATATATATAATATATGCATAACTTTTCTTACATTTTTTGTTGCCTAAAATGGGCCAGGGAAAGAAGGTAACAGAGCTGCAAGTTATGAAACATAAAATTACAGTGTTACAATGCAACATATATTTCATCTTCCACACAGTTAAAATATAGCAGTGATGCACTTGCATAATTTTACATAAATAAAACAATATTAAAATTATAAAAAGGTAGCAAAATAATTATATTAAGTGCTTTAAACTATTGGTCGAAATTCTGTTTACATCTTTTCTTTATTTAAAAAAAATAACATCTAAATATATTTTAAGTAACATCTAAATAATTTTAAAATTAAAATTAAGTGGTGAGAATAAGTTATAAAATCAAAGCTAAATTTATTTCTTTTATACAAATCCATTATTAAAAGAATTCACCTAAAACTGCAATTCAAGGGAGGATGAATTGGGAAGGAGAATCAAAGAGATGAAAAAAGTTTTATTAGAAAACGATAAACCTTGCAAATAAAGGGAAGTCTATGAAATTTTCATTTTATAAAAACTTTTAGTTTTAAATACATGTGCCATAATGGTTATTGATTGTTAAAAATCTCTATAAATTTTTAATGGATTTTATTTATCAAGTACAGAATGATTATCAGCCTAAGCTTCAAATTAGTTTTAATTCACAACAAATCACACACACTAAGTCATGCATATAACATGAATTACTCATTATATATACACTCACATTTGTGAAAATTGCAACACCAAGAAGGAATCGTCATAATTGAATGCAATTTAATACACAGTTGAGTGGTAGTGGTACAAATAAATGATTAAATGTCCAAAGCAAACAAACAAGAACAAGAGATCAGAATCAGTATTTTGTGTGGCCACCACGCGCCGCAATAAGTGCTGCTACACGACGTGGCATGGAGTCAAACAAAGTTTGAATGTCTGACTGAGGAAGAGCATTCCATATCGTTTGTACGCGTACCCAAAGTTCGTCTGCAGACGCAACAGGACGAGGATCACGAGCAAGACGCCGACCAATGACATCCCACACATGTTCAATTGGCGACATATCCGGGGAACACGCAGGCCAAGGAAGAAGCTGTACCTGCTGCGCTGCAAAGAAGGATTTAACAATCCGAGCAGTATGAGGGCGGGCATTGTCCTGTTGAAATACAGCGCCTGGCAAGCTTTGAAGGAAGGGAACAGCTTCGGGCTGTAGAACTTCACGGATATACCGGTTGCTGTTCAGATTGCCCACAATTCGTAGCAATTGAGATCGTCTATGATATGCTATGGCGCCCCAGACCATAACTCCGGGTGTTCGTCCACTGTGGCGTTCGATAATGCACTCCGGAAGGTGGCGTTCACCGGCATAGCGTCTGACACGAATGCGGCCATCATGGTACCACAAATTAAAGCGGGATTCGTCAGAAAACACGACATGCTGCCAATCAGCACGCCAGTCTCTATGCTGATTGGCCCATTGTAGCCGCAGGCGGCGATGGTCGTGCGTTAGGGGGATCCTGTATAAAGGAGTCCGTGCGCGCAGTCCACACTGCAGCAGACGTCTACGAATTGATGAAGCACACAATGAAACACCTGTAGCTATTGACCACAGTGCTGCCAATTGTCTAGAGGAAGCTGTACGGTCCGTCCGCGCCATGCGGACCAGGTGTCTATCATCGCGAGCTGACGTCACATTTCGGGGTCCACTCCCGGATTTCCGAGTTGTCCGACACTCGTCCGTCCACTGCTTCCAAACGCGCATCACTGTGCTGCTGTTACGCTGCACACGAGAGGCTACTGCACGATACGACAATCCAGCTTCACGAAGGCCGATGATTCTCCCTCGTTCAAACTCTGTAAGTTGTTCAAATCTCGCTCTCTTTCGTCGACGAGGCATAAGTACAGATTGAGTTAACGTTTACCACTAGCAGATAACCACCGATAACCATACACGCCTCGCTACAGCCGTCTATTTATTCGGATCCATCAGCCGTTCAGAGGGCGCTGCTCAGCATACGCATGCGCTACGGATTTGCAATTCTAATCATTTGCATATCATGCGCTACTTTGCATTTCCTGAAAATTTCAGCTCACTCGCGTAAGTCCTTCATGGTGTTGCAATTTTCACAAACGTGAGTGTATATATAGGGTGCTAAATGTTGTCAACTTTAGTATACAAAGATTAGATCATAGAATTGCCTGAAAATTCAAATGAATGAAAAAGGAACAGAGTATTAATTGCTTTTTAAGAATACAATGGGTATAATTCATTATACAACAGATGCTCAAATTTTGCACCATCAGACACCAAACATGGCTGTCACCGACGTACCATTGATTGCTGGATATGTTCAAACACACCAAGAGTTCCTTTGATTGTACCAGCTGTACATGCGAGTCTTGTAACGAGATCCATTTCAGACACAGCAGGATTTTGATATACAACACTTTTAATGGCATCTCACAAAAAGAAATCAAGGCTCAATAAATCCGCTGAGCGTGAGGGCCAGGGAACCAGTCAACCATGCCCAATCCATCGATGCGGGGATGATCTGTTCAAATGGATACGAACATCTAGTCCAAAATGAGCAGGTACTCCATCATGTTGGAGCCACATGTTCACAGGCTCTCCATTCGTAGAGTGTTCCTTTCTCTTTGTATGGTGCCTACCACCAGAGTCGTAGCTAGGGTTTTCAGCATCCAAGGACAACTGAAGATTTTGCGCCCCCTACTGCTTGCCAAGGATGGAAAACATTTAATTCTAAAATGTCGTAACATCAGTTTGGCGCCCCTTGGATTCTGCGCTCGGGGACAGATGCCCCCTCTAGCTACGCCCCTGCCTACCACTTGAATGAGGCAATCCTCACTTTCCACTAGAACTCTCCTGTACAACCCCCCTGGTGACGTACAATGACATTTCTGGGCAGGGGTTCCTTTGTAGTTCTTAATCCTTATGATGTGCCCTACCTCCCCCAGAAGTTTGTCGCAACATTTACCAGACACCCTGTATATATATATATGCACACATATACTTCCATATTCCCCCTCTACATATATTTTCCCCCTAATTCTCCCTAGTATATGATTTAGAAACATTTCATTATGGTAACAATACAAAATATATGCACAAACAGGAAATTATTTTATGTAAATAAACAGAATATTATTGACACTGATAAGTCCTTTAAAATACATAATGTAATAAAATTACAGGGTCTTTACATGTATGTTTCAATGTGCTATGTATATCATTTGCTTAAACAATTAGATAAAGTCAGGCTATGTTAATTGATTAAATCTTGAGGGCTATCAGCCTATGGGAAGGGATGCTTTTATGGATGACTTTCTAAGGGGAACTGGTTTGTATCCACTTACACATAGAGAAAACTGTGAAAAACAAACATGCAACCACCTGGTTTGCCAAGATCGAATCCTAAGTCAATTACCAATGTTCAGCAACTTAACTCTGTGGGGGCCAGTTGGCCATTTCCTTAAAAACAGTATACACCACATATTTTTCTCCACCTGGTTTTCAAGTGGTAAAACTAATAGAAAAAGAGTGAAATAAGTGAATAAATATGGTATATATACAGTACAAAAATCTAAAATCCAGAATGATCTAACCTCCAAATGATCTAAACCTCCAGAAAAAAGGGGGGAAATGGATGGGGGAGGGGGGTAAAAGAAATTTTTAAAAAATTAGTAATGACGAATATCAGAAAAAGCAGATTATCAAAACAGTGATTTTTCTCTCAACCAAGATTCCAGCAGATCATTTTCAAACACCTCGCTAGGGAATCACATGGTGATCAATGACAATGCATTGACTCACATTAGCCGCAACCACACTTTCGCCCCTTGAATGATAGTGGAAGTGGAAGGTTAATATTTTTCTGTCTGGGACTTACAAACTAAAATACACAACAAACGTTTTGGAGCAGGATATTGTTAATACTGGTTTTCTTTTATTGGCATAATGGCAACAAGAAAGAAATTAATTTGTAAGAAATTAAGCTCAGTTAACACCACAAATTGTGTTCTTCTGTAACTAACTGATCCAGGATTTTTTGCAAACTATCATTATTACAACTACCTTTTCAAAATTAGGATGTGAATTTTTAATTATTTTGAAAAGACTATAATTCTAGAGATGTAGCTGCATCTGCATGTGAAACTATGTACTTTTCAGAGCAGATGTGGTGCAAGAAAATAGTGATGGTGATATTCACGCTAAAAAGAGTGCAAAATTAGGCAAAACAGCAACCTTATACCGGCATAGATTTTAATTGCTAGAGATGGTGAATTTTCCAATTAATGTAATTTCTGAAGAAATGTGGAGAAATGATAATAAATGAGACTGATAAAACAGAAGTTTTCTATTGCAATGGCAATGCCCCAGTGACCACTCAACTAATGAACAGCGAAATTTGTATTAAATCCAGAAAATATCAATATCATTAGTGAGAAAAACTGTAAAATTTTCCAATCGAACAAGAAATTATGTCTGTCTATAAAAATCAAAGAAAAAGTATTAGCACAACAGCTTGAACAACTCAAATTGAAAGAAATGTTTAATGAAACATACAAAATCAAAGAAAAAGTATTAGCACAACAGTTTGAACAACTCAAATTGAAAGAGATGTTTAATGAAACATACAAATGTATATTTGAGCTTTTATATATAATTTTTTTTTATTCCTTAAAAATCATAAATGCTTCATTTTTTTCCTAAACAATTATTTCATATTTTTAATTTTATAATTTTTACAAGTCATTTTACTAGATTTAAACTGATCATCTGAAATCTGAAATTGCTGAAGTCCAGATGATTGCAGATCTTGGACTTTGTACTGCATATATACGGTCAAAACTCGTTAATCCGGACTCGTTGGGACTTCGGCGATTCCGGATTATCGATTTTTCCAGATTATAGATCATCAGTTTAAATCCGGTAAGATGGCATGCAGAAATTATAAAATTAAAAATATGAAACCATAATTTCTGAAATAAAGAACAATTATGATCTAAAGAGTATCAAAATTTACAAAAAAAAAAAAAAAACTTAATATTTATTTGTTTACTTTATTAAACATTTCTTTCAATGTAAGTTGTTTAAGTTGCTTCGTTTTATGTGATAATACTTTCTCTTTAATTCTATAAACAGACATAATTTCTTCAGTAACAAAGTTCCGCTGTTAAAGTCCTATAATTACTGTGTCTAGAATACAGACTAATTTGTCAATCGAAATTTTTTCGTTTTCAATAACCTCTGTGTCACTGTCTTCACTATCGGAAGTGAATTATAATGACGCGGAATTTGATTTAAATCATATCAAAGACGGAGTACATCGAGATGAAATACTACATTTAGTAAGGAATTATAAGCCAAACAAAATAAAAACATCTGCTCTGAAGATAAGGATAGTGCTGACAGATCCACTTCCAATTCATTGCGCTCCGCGGCGTATATTGAGCTTTTATATATAATTTTTTTATTCCTTTAAAATCATAAATGCTTCATTTTTTCCCTAAACAATTATTTCATATTTTTAATTTTATAATTTTTACAAGTCATCTTACTAGATTTAAACTGATCATCTGAAATCTGAAATTGCTGAAGTCCAGATGATTGCAGATCTTGGACTTTGTACTGCATATATTTATGTGTATATATGTGTTATATATATATGTGTGTGTGTGTGTGTGTGTGTGCATGCAATAATATGTAAAAATGTTACCATCATGTAGAAGCACTGTAGACGCATAATAGAATGGTGTAATTTGCAGTCATAAAATACTTCTTTTATTTCTTGTTATATCCAAATTAAAGCAGAGAACAAAGGGACTACAGCAAATTAAAATATGTATTTTTGTGTGCAGGGAAGGGTGGTGTATGCATGCAAGTGTGTAACTTCCTAGTTTGTGTTTTTACAGATAAACTTCACTTATTTTACCTAACACAAATTCTAAAGCCATCCAAATTACACTCAGGCTTGTGTGCAATGTTGTTAAAAAATGTTTAACTACAAAATTAGATAAATTGACAATTTCAATTTGACAATGAAAAATAAAACAATTACACTTAATTAAACCAGAAATCTGCTTACTTCATATCTGGAGAACATATCAACTTTAAGGATGTGCTTTCCTTGTAATTCAGGAACTGCTAGGAGTGCAGAAGGTGAAGCACTTGGGATATATGAAAGAGGTCCCTTTAAATCAATATGTGGATCAACAGGTTTATGTTTAGCCACAACTAAAGGTTCCTCAACTTCCTTTATAAGTTGTTTTGACACATCGCTTATAAAATCCTGCATTGTCTGAGTATGCATTT